TCCGTGTAAAGTGTTGAAGTTGGAAGATGAAAGAAGATAATATAGAAGCAAAGCTGACCAATTCGAACCTTTCTATCGTATTCGAATGTCGAAATTTTGAGACCACTTAAATCCACTTTCGAGGAAAATTTGGATTCTTTCATGGAAAAGTACGAACGTCTAAAGACTTATTTAACGTCTTTTGACTTATTTCAAGTTGATGTAGAGCTACAGACAAATGATAGGATGACAAGGATTAATCTATTATAAAAATATCCATAAAACTTGATTCTTTTGTACTAAAATATTGAATAAGTCAATATTAATATAATAAACTGATATTTTCAAACGTGGTGAACATGTAAACATATTTAAAACAAAAATTGTAAATAACTCGCAATGAAGGATATGACTAATAACAATTAGAATAATTTATCACGATTGTTCAGATGTATGAATCTCCCAGAAACCGTTGAATCGTTCAAATATTTGTTTCCTTGAACTCGAATAAAACAGATATTTACAAAATTTGATTCTATAGACGAGGAAATTATCCCAACGAAAGTCAGATTTCTCTTCTAAATACTGCCATTCGTTTATTCGTGGCGTCATTTATTTATTTATCCGAGTTCAAACAAATTAAGAATTTATTTTAGCTTCCTCATTTCCCATTTTCAAAATATCGATCGAAATATTGATCGAGCCGAAAGTTTTCAAAGATCTCTCCACTTTTTCGCCCTCAAACTATGGGAAGAACCTGCATATGGCTCATTGTTAGCTTTAGCGCGAATATCAAACATTAAGAATAAAGTTTGCAAATATTTTGCGTTTACTGTACATTTGAGCATCGTGTACAGCACGTAGATAGGTAAAACCGTAAGATATCTACGCCACATTATTCTCGTAGCGATATCATTGATGTCGATTACGATGCAACTGATCACCTCACCAAGAATGTTTTCTTACGACCAGGTCCCTGGACGGGAAGGGCCCAGTCCCCTTTATTGGATTTAGTCCCCTAATGATTTTGTCAAGCCAGGATGAAAAGAACCTGCCAACATTCCGTCGTGACTCGTTCTGCATTCGAATTTGGCGCTGTAACCACGATCAACTAACCGACAGGGATCTCCTCGTAAATTACAGTTCACGGATCGTAACACATCACTTAACACAATTACTCGCGAGAAATAGCTGATGGCGAGATGATTGTTTTAACGTATTACCACTTCGACTTTGAACAGAAATTTTTATGCATGCGAACTCGTGAATTTTCTTGCTCGATACCCGATCAACCCCTTCCCTCGTAATATCCAGTCAGACTTGTGATGAAAATTTTCAACGGAATTAGAGAAATTGAAATGTTATTCGTTTATTTTTCGTGTATATAATATTACTTGTTTATTGGCAATATTCAAGCTTTAGAGTAAACGTTGAATAAGCATCGAAATTCTGTTCTATTCGTTATTACAGATACATTTGAACTACTTATTTTGAAACTAATGTATTTCCAGTTTCTTTAATTTTGAAACATTAAATTGTTTGTGTTTTTGTGAACTGACTCATGCCACATTGACTTCGTGAAATGATATTATAGATTTTTGTGTTTTTTATGTTATATTTTTACAGTCTTATTGAGAGAGTATAGTATTTTGAATTAACTTAAGTGCTCCATTAATTGTTTTGGTAATATTTTAATGGTCAACCAAGCCTCTGTTAAACGAAGTGATATAATTTTGTCAATTAATCTTTAATTTGATACTTTTGAACGTATTTGATGTTGACCGATATTTTTAAATGTGATTTTTGTGTTTTATATTTCAGCGAAACTAATGATTACACCGTTTGTTATACTGTTTACGATTTTAAAAAAGGTCCATTTTACGTATAAGAGTAAAATCTTTCTCGTTTGTAAAATTTTTTTATGTAAAAATTTTTCTATAAAAATGGTAAACAATTGAAAACAACAAGAATGCCAGCAGGCACCACAACTTAAGTGCGCACAACTCGATGACACAATCCACCAGATGTCACTAGGAAACCGACGTACCATTTCTCTATTACTTAATATGATATAAAATCAATTTACATTATTCACATTATTTCTCTAACTTTCCAATACTCTATCTATTTTTCCCGATAAAAACTGAGAAATCAAGCATTACTTTTATTGACAGATTTTCTGCTGTAATCAGAACTAAAATTATTAATTTACCATCGATAACAAAACGCACAAACTAAATAGAAATAAATTATTCCTTTCTCTGGAAAATTTGTGCGACTTTGAAGGTATTAGATCGCCTGTTCTCAGAAAGTTCGTGGTTCCCACGATCGAAAACTTCTGTCTCGTTGCAATCTGTATTACGCATATCATTATTAGATTACTAATAAGTAAACAGTAAACAATATATATAAGAGTACAAACTGCTACAATCACGCGCATTTAAGAACGTTGAACGATTGCTGATGATGGTATCGAGGAGTATAAAATCACGGGTTTCACTTTCCTCATTTTACAATTACCGATATTTCAAAACTATTATATATCCGCAATTCTGAAAATAAACAGTTTCACTTGAATGCTAACGATTATCCGAAGAAAACGAAGAAAAATGTATCGTTACGGTCTCCACATAAATTACACGCGACTGCTGTTAGATCCCCAGTAGTTCCAGTGTTAACAACATATATTAACGTGTACCATACAAACAAGTTACCCCTGAACGGTACACTAGCATAGAAACACGCACAATAAGAGAATAAAAAATCTGAGTCACGTAAACAGAAGAAAGAAACGAGTTCAGCTGCGAAAAGTCCCCTCCGCGAACGGCGCGCAAAACAAAATCTGCCAATTATTTCCTTAAATGCCTGGCAACGTGGGACGGTGTACGGCCCTTTGAATTCCCTCGCTATTACGCGAAACTAATAAATCTTTCTCGCAGTAAATATACACGTAACATTTCTTCCGCGAGCGATCGTTCCGTCGCGCGTCGTTCCAGGAACGGAGCTCTCGATCATACACCATTAATTATCAACACAATGCATGTGGATTAGGTTTTTCTGTAACGCGGACCGCCGAAAGCGTACGCGCATCGGGCACGGATCTCCACGTCACCGGATGTCAACTCTAAATGGAAATGTCTTAATTATCAGAGCACGTAGTGCCCGACAAAAAGTATCATCCGATTGGTGCACTGTCCCATCGCGACGCTGCACATTCGCAACGAACAGGAGTATGCAAGATTCTCGTACGCGAGCGATAGAGCTGGTCGTCTTGGTTCAGCACCGCTGTTTCCGTACTCTTCCTTTACTAATTGTAAACGCAACGAGACTTCATTGGTTACGCCAATGCGACGGGACCCGTTCGAGACAATACGCGAGGGTACTCATTGTCGGGACGAAGATTTTACGAATTCCGAATCGAGGATTAACACTTTGCGGACGAATGTCGACGTTCTGTCGAGATCAAGTTGCAAACAAATGATTTAACTGCTCCAATAACAAGAAATCAGTATATAGTTTCTTTATCCTCCATTATTTTAGCATTCAGTATCCAATTTGGCAGAATCTGCAGGTTTCGTATAGTTTACAGAGTCTCTGTCTGCAGAGAGTTAAGAGGTGCAAGTTGAGTTTAAAAATATTATAAACTATATTTTCTTTGATTATAGTGCGAGAAGAATTATACATTAATTAGTTGAAATGCTTATTTTAGCCTTCTACTGTTTTTTGGCATAATGGGAGGAATATCGTTTTAATTGATTGATGTAACTCTTTATTGTGTATTTAATGTTCATATCTGTAACACTTTGGAAAAATGTAATTTAAGAAATGAACCACCCTTAGTTTTTTAAGAAAATGAATTCTGAACAAAGAATTCTAATTTTCAACTTTGGACGTTTGTTTCTTAATTACGAAAGCTACTCAAACTTTTCTTGCTCAGTATTATGCTATGGACCTTTCTGAACGTAGCGATGTACATTTTTTAACATTGTTAACATTTGAATATGTTTACACAGTATTTAAAGGCAAAATGGCGTCATTTCTATGGATATTTTTCAATTAATCTTAAAAATTAAGCATTTAGGAGGAAATCTTATTTCAACGTGCGATAGAGCAATTTTTTTTAGTTGAAAAATAAAAACAGTTGCGCGCGATATGAGGTACTGACAGTGATTCTCAATGCCAACGATTACTTCTCCTCAGCGCAATGCAGCCGCAGCTAGCCGGTTTCTCCACCTATATACATAAGTAACTGTATTATGTTTGATCATCATCGATCAAGTACGCTATATAGTTATAACGATTCAAAATTATAGAATTTTATATTTTAAGGGGATTTTACTTTTTAAGGCAAAATTTAACTTTCTAACGTATATAGTTTTCACGCGATACCTTGTTTGTACAAAACTTCGCGAGTTTTTACTTTCCAAAATCCCTACATTTTTTTTCCTTAATAAATAATTTTTATAATTCTTTTACCGTACGTACTGATTAAATCAAAAATATATCTTACGCGTTGAAAACTTATATTTATTTAAGATACTAAGATAATATAAGTAAACAAACTTTTACCTTGTGAGATTGAAGTCGTCTTTCTTGTATAACTTTCCAATGATAAATTATTAATGTTTTTAAACAACGATATATAATATTAAGAAGTTTAAATTTTATTAATTAGTATCTCGTGTTGTTTTAATATAAAATAATCAAAAATAATTGAATGCACACTATTTTTTTTATTTATTTTATGGGAATTCAAATACAAAATTAATTTAATTAATTGATGTCCTGCTGTACTATTGTAATAATTTATTATAAATTTTTTTATTTCGAAAGTTTGAATTAAATACTTAGGTAATACTATTTTAATGGAATTCTAAGGATTTCATGTTTTTTCTTATGTTCATGCCGCTTTAATCTCTTAAGGAACGAATCTCAAGGTAAAAGCACTTACATTTGGACCCGGAAATATCTTTTTGAACGCTACGTTCCAATACTGTTTGCACGCATGCGTATTTCTGTTGACACTTTGTTTTAAGTAATTTTTATTTGATTAGCCTGTCAATTTTCAACATCCGTGTGGGAAACATCGACCAGTATTTGAAACTCACAGGAATTAGCCAATGGTTGTTTGCATTTTTCGCGCAAGTGCAGTGGGTACAGTCGATGTGAACAAACCTCGTGTCGTCCGATGTGGATGAACGAGCGGCAAATAGTTCGCAGTGCGAATTAATTTCATACAAAGACAACCGCCTGAGCTTATGGATATTGACTCGTCTTATCTATCATACTACACTAACATGTGACACGCAAAGAAAAGAAAACGGCTGAAACTCTGCGATCTGCAGGAAACATGAACATGTTCTAAACATTTGCAGTATCATCTCCGGAGCAACTGTTCTAAGCAGACGATACACAGGTGAAATTTATATTTTAAATAATAATGGATTATATCATTCTATCTGAGAGTATACAGTAAAATCCATTGTTAATTTGAAATTAAAAAATATGTTTTTCCATAGTTACAGTTTTCTATAATCTTCTCTTACTCTGATTTACAATTTCTTCAATTAATTTGGAATTTGTAATAGTTGATGGTATGAAATAATGAAGTCATATATGAATCACTGTCATAAAGGCAAACATCGTATTTTAATTAGCAAGTGAAAGTCGTTGATGAGAAGAATGAATGAAACAGAATCAACACTTTACTGAGGGTTATATGTATCAACCTTGTTTAAAATTTTGTTTAAAACCAAGTGTTCTGTGGGATGAAAAATCAGATTTTCTCAACTGAACCAACCGTAGTGGAATCTTTGTTTACTTTGGAATAAAACTGTGTTCTTTGTTCGCAGATTTTTGTTTCACAGGTTCATTGTTTATACCTTATAAAATAAATATAACCCAAACAAATAAAGAATATAGTTGCATAAGTTACACCTATGGTTTTATATCTAAACAGTTTGAATTACTATAGGATGTTTTAAGTCCTTAGATTTGTATTTTGTTAGATATTTAATCTATATTATTGCTGTCGCTTTACCCACTTTATGTGATGGTTATTTCTTCACTAACAACTATATACATTCAAAAATTAAATTATCAATTATTAATGACAAATTTTTCATTCAAATATATATAACTTTGTAACCATTTCAGTACTTACTGTTGGTCGGATCACAAGGTCATGGAATTAACTGAAACCAGTGTACAAATAAGAGATTGTTCTATAGACTTTATTCCGGTATACATTAAACAAGAGAGTAGTGAACGTGAAACAGATTTTAATGATGTTGAAATAATCAATGGGGCTCAACACTTCTGTGCTATTGAAATCAAAGAGAGCAAAGCATATAGTGCGATTAATGACCACAAAGAATCAGACACAAATAACAAAAGCTACGCACAAAATACAAGTACTTTAAATAATATAAATTCTGCATTAAATTCCACAGAACAAAATGAAAATTGTAATATCAATGGTATTTTGAGTGGATCAACGTATTTGCAGAATTTGAACTATGAAAATGTGAATATTGAAATACAAAAGCCAACAAATGAAATTTCAGAAGTTTTCATTGATCAAAATGAACAAATACAGACAACTAATTACAGTATTTCAACAATTACTATAGCAAGCGAACTTTTAGGACTAAACTTAAATATAAAAAAGGAAGATGAAGTAGATAATGAAACAGTATACACTACAGGATGGCTATGCAGTGTAAATAATGAAAATGATAGATCAAACATTTCAAAGAATGCTAAAGAACAAGTAGAAATTTCTACTGTGATCGAAGCCACAATTACTCCATTAACAGAACAGAGGGACCAAGCACCAGAAACTGATAATTTGAAGAACAAGGAAAGTAAATCTGGAAGATGTAAAAGACAGTTGAAAATACGATCATTACAAGAGTACAAGGAGAAATTACGCAGAAAAGCAGAGTGCATGAGAGAAAAAAGGAAAAAGTTATACGAACAAGAAAGTGAGGAGCAACGTTTGCAGAGGTTAGCGAAGGAAGCAGCAAAAAGGCGAGAAATGAGAATGTATTACGAAACGCCAGAACAAAGAAGAAAAAGATTGGACGCAGAGGCAGCACGAAAAAGAGAATATAGAATGTATAACGAAACACCAGAAGATAGAAGGAAAAGGTTAGACCGTGAAGCAGAAAGAAGAAGAATGAAAAGGCTTTCGCTGTATGCTACTGAAACACCTGAACAAAGGAGAGAAAGATTAAACAGAGAGTCGGCAAAACGAAGAGAGGCTCGATTGAATCAATACGCTAAAGAAACACAAGAAGAAAGAAAAGAAAGATTAAAGAAAGATGCTTTAAGAGTTAGAGAAATGAGATTTACTAGATCTGCTATCGAAACAGAAGAGGAACGTAGACAAAGGTTAGTAAAGGATGCTTTTAGAAAAAGGGAGGTAAGAATGCATGGAGGTCATTCGGTGAATAATAATTTCACTGAACTTCAAACCATTCGCAATTTTGAAGAATTAAACAATGTGCAGATAAAGGAGAATCCAGATAATCAGTTAGGAGGTCATTATTTAAGCAACTGGATGATGTGGTTTCAAAACTCATTAGCCCAACCAGTTCAAGTTGGAGAACAAATTACTAAGTCACAATCACAAGACGATGCATAAAGATTGTTTAGTACATTTTTAATACTGTACATAAAATTTCTAAATTTTCACATACCAAACAGAACTAAACTACTATTGTATAGAAAATTCTGTGTTTTATATGTTTTTCATACAATCTTTATGCTTGAAATACAATGAAAAAGCATAGAAAAACCGAGATTAATACACTGTTAATAAAATTTATATATATATAAATAAATAAATATTCTTAGAGAATATATTTAGTTTGTAGTATTTATATACTTTGACATCATATATGGTTATGATTTCATACATTAGCGAAAATGTAAAAAAAGTAATGTTTAGAATATTTATTAATAGTGTAGAGAATTTCATGATTAGTCAATAAAATACATTCTGAAATATTCAGAAACCTAAAGTATGTGAAGATTTTCACGTACTAAGGAATGTACAAATCGTAATAAAATTATTGTCATGTTATTATGTTATTTAATGCGAACGAAAAAACATTGTTGTACTGTTGATATTGTAAAAATTAAAATTATGCGTTCGTGAGATGAAAAAGTAATGTTTAACAGTGCCTTTTTGTTCACTGTTTTACAAAAGTAATTTATAACGTGATTTAAGCAATTTATACATGTGCGCCACCTGAGCACAAGTGAATGATTCCAATGAAAATTTGACTGTCCCTTAAAATACGTATATGTACATTATAATGTAATTTTTTCTACAGTTCCTTTGTATTAAATACTACAAGAAACACACATTGTTATATAAATATAAAACATAAACCCTCCTATTTTTATTTCCTATTCTACTATTTAAGTTATATAAAAATAACATTCTATTCGCTTCATTTATTACATTATTAATTTTTAATAAGTTCTATTGCTCAACTATAAAAACATTCTATAAACAATTTAACTTTCGCAAAATGTCCTTTTTTAAATAATAACTTAAATTTTTGCTCTTTTCTATAACTTTTACTAATTAAATGATGCAAATATGATATCAATGAATCATTTTTATAAACGTGCAACGTTATCACTTTGCAAGATACATCATGGTGTCCTTTTCCCTCCTCTAAATGAAGTGTTACTCTCTCAGTAACACGATAAAGTAGATTTCTACATGTATTGAAAACATTTTACGCCTTGAGGTCGATGTCCAGACTATTATAATTTTCTGAAAAGAAATCGTAGCTCATTTTAAGACACGAAATTTCTACTTTTGCAATTCATTGTGTTTTAACATGTACGCACTTTCCTTTACTATATCAAATACGAAAATTTTCAGTTTTGCATATTTTTATTTCCCATTACTTGTTCGAGTTAGATAAAAGATAGCAGAATATAAATTTTGGCGAATATTCAATTCGGTTCGAGTTAAAATAAAACTTCAATGAAGATTAAATACATTGTAATAGAGACTATCAATTTCGATCAATATTAGATTTAGTTTCTGTTACATTAAAATTCAAAAGAAGGTTAAATAAATCGCAACAGAATATAAATTCCAATGTTTAGTGCGTAAAAAATAAAATATTTTCTGACCGCGACCCATTGTCGGTCAATTCCAGAAATTTAATAAACTGGGCGATCGCGATGTTTATTAGGGACGCGCAGGTACCGGAAGTCTTCCGACAAATCCTTCTTAATAAGATTAAGTAAACAGCCCATTTCGCAGCTGTAAACCATACAACTCATTATATTCTCCCAATAGTTAAATATCCAGAAGTAATAAAATTAGGGACCGCTCGCGGGTAGGATCGAAAGTCGCTGAATGTCGCCGATGAACGAAAAATGGGAAACGGGTATAAAGATTCTGAAATTTCAGTATTAGTTCACCGTGAGTCGCCGTTCGCGAAGGAACTCTCTCCTCTTTCGTTCCTTAGATAGTCAGTGATATCCTTGCGCGTTTGTGAACATCTTTGGGATTTCATTGAACAATATTAAATAGTGTTGGATTTTATTAAGCAGTATTGGACAGTGTTAAACAGTATTGAACAATACTAAATAGTGTTGGATTTTATTAAACAATGTTTATCAGTGTTAATTAGTGCAGACCAGTGGTCATCCAGGATAAAACACTTCTCAGTTTCTCCAGAGTTACGAACGGATTGTGACAACGATCGGTGAGTCGCAGCTTTTATTTTACTCCGATTACCGGTCATATAGCGCAAAATGTTATTATTTATTCCATATTGTTACTAACAAATGGTTTAAACAGAAATGGGTCCCTCGCAGCAACCTCCACGTGGTAGACCTGGAAACTAGTAGCATCGCCGGTAGAGTAGTTCCTACCGAGGATGTTGCTAGGCCAATGGCTGCGAAATTGTCTAAATATGCCGAGCAGTTATCGTTTAGTTTAATGTAATGATTCCGCTTGTTTCCCTTATTCCGGTTCACTTAGCCATGCATGCGAGTGGATCGGGCCGCGTGTCACATCAGTCATTCCGCCGTTCTCGTACCTCGGTGTGACCGACTCATTAGATCATGATGGTGGAATCAGGACCGGTACCATGTTACCGGTACGATTTCGTGGGAAGGGAGACATGGTTGTCCTGTGCCCATCAAAGCCGTAATTGTCACGGAGATCCTCTCCTTCGTAATACGCCTGGAGCCCTCGCGGGCAGGGTGTTGGGGAGAAATGGGGGAACGCTGGCGCCGGTGGAGATCATCCTCTGATCCGTAGGGGAGGGAGCATCGTAACTCGGCACTGTGGTGTGACTGGTCTGATCACGGTTTGCTTCGCGTCACCCTCATTTTGCCTTTTCTCAATCAGAGACTTCTTCTCTGATTCGTCTCATGTTCGAGTCAAGGACTTCTTCCTTGACTCACTCCCTTTGCTTGCTGGCCCGATAATTGCTCGACATATCTGCGTCCAATGTGATGTATTCGAAGTCTAAACTAAGTTAGAATTAAGACTGTAATCCCTGACTTTGCTCTTGATGAATCAGAGACTTCTTCTCTGATTGGAATGATGAACGAATCAAGGACTTCTTTCTTGATTCACACCCTATACTGCGATTATTGTAATAATCTAAGTTACCCGCTAAGCTAAACTAAGTTAGAATTAAGACTGTAACCCCTGACTTTGCTCTTGATGAATCAGAGACTTCTTCTCTGATTCGAATGATGAACGAATCAAGGACTTCTTCCTTGATTCACCGCCCTTACCACTGCGATCATTGTATAGTTTAAGTTATCCGTTAAGGATAAGCTAAGTTAGAAATAAGCTTGCGAAAGAAGACATCGATCATCCGCCGTGGGATTTTAATTAAGTGCGTTAAAAATAAGTGCGTTAAAAATAAGTGCGTTAAAGATAAAATTTCGATGTAGAACGGGAGGTCGGTGGAATGGAATTTCCACCCACCTCCCAGGGTCTCCTCGCAGCAACCTCCACGTGGTGAGACCTGGGCAACTACCATTCTCTTTATTACAGTGTTTTCTGTAAAAGGATCATGGTAGGCTAATTGGCTGCGATCATTTTGTAATTTAAATGTGAAATATTTAGACAATATTTACGTTTTACGTGGATGACAGATTACATTTGTGAATTAATAAGAACTGCATTGTTATGAAGTTCTATTTGACAAATAAGTAAGTTTTCTTTCACTCTTAGTGCAAAAGCCCGAATTCGTTAACGTCTCGTTGCAATAATTATTAAATAATTGATTTAACACGGAGTAATAAAATATTATAATATATTTTTATAATTATTAGATACAAATCTTATATAGACATTATAGCTCTTTTCACTGCCTTTTCCTTATTCTTCTTGACCTTCCTCCTATGCCTGCTGCTTTTAGTTGCATCTTTAAACAATTGAATCCCTTCCTTTTCTTCTATAACATGTTGAATATGCATCATTCCGTGTAAATTAAATCCCATCATATCCTAAAAGTTTAAAATTTTAAATGACTGTACATACGAATATAAGTCTTCATATTTGTATGAAAAATTGTCTTACTCTTAGCGCAGAAACTTTTTTAATAGATAATGTTTTCACAGTCTCTAACGTCTGTAAGAGTTCTAGATTAGCTGTAATTGGGCCATGATGCGTTTGTATTAAAGACAATGCTAATCTTGCTATTAATTCTGTATGATAATCTGATTGCAATAATTTTGGTAGCATTTTAAGGATATCACAAGCAGCTGAATATGGCAGTAACATCAATGTTTCGTCTAATTCACTGAAAATTGTATTCTACAGTTTAGTTTTCTTACATGCACCTATGTCAAACATATTTAGGTATCAGGTATTACCTAACACATTTACGGACATGAATGCTATAGCATTATCATGCATGTAATTCTAGTCTCCTATTTATAATCAAAATTTGGATATCACAATTAATTTAAAAATAAATCACATGTCTATTTTTGCAGCTCGTTACAATTTTTATTGTCCGCGAACGTGTCAATAGGTCGTTCTGTATACGCTATTCCTACCTTGCTCTAACGCGCTTAATTGTTTCCAGTAAGTAATCCTCTACAGTTGTACAATTATAAGCTTGCATTTGTAAAGGAAGTGCGGATGCTGTCTTTGAATCAGATTCCTTCAATTGTTCAATATACGTTTTCGATATTTCCAAACATTCCAATATTAATTCAGCCTAAAAATTATACAATATACCCGTAACATAGTATGACGACTTCTTTTGTTCACAATGTGATCCATTAGTATTTACCGCCTTTTCACTGGAGACAGTTTTTCTAGATGGTAAAGATTGTTGCTTTTGACCAGGAGCGACAGTAATTTCACCAGTAGCTAATTCATTTTCTTGACGTTCCCTCTCTTCTTCTTCTTCATCTTGCAAAACTAAGGGCTCTGAAGTTCGTTCGTACATCCTAATGACCCTATCGGAACCACACGAGACGACATAAATACCATTTGGTGAAACGGCACAACCCCATGCTTCTCCTGAATGTCCCTAAAAGATTTCATGTTAAATAATTTTGAAGTGCAATCATTATTTACTAATTATAACATTAATTAAATTACCTGTAAGGTCACAATTTTTTTAAAAATGTCAACATCCCACTGCTTTACTTTCCCATCTTTTCCACATGTGAAAACATAATGAGTTCCAGGGACAAAGGATAATCCCATTATAGAATCGTCATGAGCAAATAACGATTTATGACAATCTCCGTAATCTAAACCCCAAATTTTAATATTCCTGTCTGCAGAACCAGTAACAATAAGTGACGAGTCACTAGATATGTCCATAGATAACACTGGCAATTTATGTCCATAAAGTGAAATGAAGAACTAGAATAAAATTATGTAGTTTTATATGTACCGTTATATTTTGATATATTGCACGTGTATAAGTAATTACCTTAAATGTATCAAGGAAAAAAATTTTTACAGTAGAATCAAGTAATGCAACTGCGATGAATTGATTGTTAGGACTTATTCTTATACATAACACACTATCTTCTAATTTTAAAGTTTTCATGTGCAAAACAGATAATACTTTGGCTTTCATTTCACTTTGAGAATTTTCAGCATCAGTCTTAGGAATTTGGACAAATTTCCAAAATTTTACTGTTTGATCTCCCCCACCAGTTGCCACTCCTATCTATGAGCATAAAAAAATAACTACAAATTCATTTAATTTTCATAGACATATAATTTTTAATAGATTTCAAAATTACCCTATCGGGAAATAGTGTAACACTCCAAAGTTCTTTAGAATGTGCCGGTATTTCTTCCAACACCTCACCTGATACAATATCAATAATTAACATTTTACCATCCTTTAAACCTACTATTAAATGTCTGTCTCCTGGTACGAATGTTGCAGTTAACGCATAACCGCATTCCACAGTACGTATACATGCTAAAGTTGACCTAAAATTAAAAAAAAAACATTAGACTAGGGTTAGTATTTTATACAATTCTTTTACTACATTTTAGTACCTATTCCATAATTTCACAGAATCTCCACTTGCTGTTGCAAAAGCTAAATTATCAGAGCTAAAACAGACTGCACGAACATCTGAACGGTGACCGTGTTTCACTATAGTTCTCAACTGATTCACTTCAGGATTTTTGTCTTGTGTCAGTATAGAATATAAGTCAAGAGAATTATTATTTAATCCAACACATATCTACAAACATGAAACAGAAGTTGAGTTAAATGAAATATTTTTAACCTTTTAGTTATTACGCGCTACCTATAGTAGCTTTCCGCTAAGTAACGTCTCGAGTTATTACAGTAGCTTTTTATTTGCAATTTTAGATGGTTAATACTATCTGTAATGAGATAAATTCCTCAGATATTTCGATCGCGGTCAAAAGATTAAATAGAATTTAGCACGAAATAAAACTTTTGTTATTACTTACTCTGAGCTCGCCACCTCTACCCATTATCATATTTATCCCTTTAACTTTTGCAGATGCTTTAAGTGGCGGTAAACGTGTAATTTCATCTTTTATTGTTGGTATATATACTAAATCCGCTTCAATACTATTTCCAGTTCTATTTGCAAAATCAATATGTATTAATAAGTTTCTATATATTTACAAAGTATTTGAATATATTAGAAATTGTACTAATAAGTATCTGCATACTTTGCTAATTTTTTCCTTTCTTTTCGTAATCTTTTAATTACATTTTCCTTTACTTTAGTATCAGGTAGCAAGTGAAATAATTCAACAGTATTATCTATACCGTGACATCCGATGACTGTTTGCGTTGTATCAACTTCAAGAGACACGACTCGTCCACGGCCGCTTCTTAAAATGCTGCCAGTTTTTTCACATTTTAGAGGATATTTCTATTAAAATGTAACACATTCATTAAGTAAAAAGAGTATAAGCGATATATGTAACAGATAAAAATATTTTGTAGATTAGTAAATATTTACCAGATCACTAACTTCACTACCATCAGCAATGGTCAAATCTTGTAAATTAGTTTCAAAGTCTGTACCTACAGCTTCAGTAAAATATATTTTCCATACTTGTAATTCACTATCATTACAACCAGTGATTAAATATTGATCATTTTTAGCTAATACCAAAGACCAAACCTAGATTAATAGTATATTATTAATAAATTTTACGACAGAAATATGATGGTATATACTTAATATTTACCTCTGTTTTATGATTAACAAGGGTTTTGAAATTATGTTCTGTATCTAAATCCCAAAATTTTACGAAAGTATCCTTACTAGCACTGATGATAATGTTGTGATCTTTCATAAATGCTAATTTAGTTATTACATGTTTATGTCCAGTTAATCTACACACTCCTGTTTCTGCTACCACATCCCAAATGATAATATCTGTGTCCTAAAAATTAATACATTAAGATTTTATTTATTTTATGGAATAAATAGTAGTTTCTATTTTATTGGAAAGTTATGTGGAACTTAAAAAATATTTAAACCTCTTCTTAAACAAGAGTGATATCAATAGAATATACTATATAATTTTAACACTAAACATACATTCAAATTTGATTTAAAATTCTGCATTTTCTTTCATTTATTTAACTTTTGTTTCCTTTTGTTTCTATTTCCACTAAGAAAAATTTATCATTTAATTTGTTTACCTTTGTTTTGTAACCAGTTATTTGACTGGTTATGGTAAGAATACGTCTATACAAAGTACCAGTACGTTTAGTGTTGAATAAAGCAGAAATATTACCTGTTTCAATTATATGATTCACCTTATAAATCTATATTTTGTGGAACAAAATATCTTACTTTTGAACCAGAAGCTAATCTGTGTCCTTGCTTGTCATATGCCAAAGTTGTAATCTCAGACCGGTGACCAACAAATATGCTTATATTTTCACCTGATCTTAAATCAAATGTTTTTATAGTACCATCTGCATAGCCAACTGCTATATGCCTTTGATTTGGAGATGCAGCTAAACATGTTACATTTACTTTATCTCCTGACAATATTTGACTCTAAAATAATATAAATAATAAAAATAACAACAATAATATTATTATTAATAATAAATATGAATACTCTATGTATGAATGATATAAACAATTTTCTTTTTACCTTTTCTCCTAATCTTAAGTCCCATATAAAAACATGTTCACATGCTCCAACTGCTACAAACCGACCTTCCTGTCCTTCCAATGTTACAAAAACAATGTTACAAGTAGAACTAACAATTAAATTTAAATTTCCGGCTGGAACATATCTTAAATATTGTTTCGTGATACCCATATTTTACTCGTTAGAAATAATTTTCACAATTTTATAATTTTGCGTGCTTTGCATTAAATATGTGATGTTCGTACTAACAATTCATCAAATGTTCACTGCATACAACATGATTGTTTGATTGTTCAGAACGTTCAATTCATAACTTTGGTTAAACGCACGCATGGTTTTAAATTATTCTTATTTAGCCGAGCTTTTAGTCCACAGAGAACTTTAAGACGGACAAAACTGTAATGACAGTGATATTGATCACAGCGTCCTCTATTACCGCCAAGGAGAGATGTCGTTTGCGCGCCAATTTCAGTCTTTCCTATTTTCAAAAAATAGTCGCATTTTATTCGTTTAAAATTACGCTATATCGTTTTCAAATTAGTTCAATAGTTGCTCTCTTACCTTTAGCGTTCAATTATCTATGCTATAGAATGAAAGCGTGGGAGGTTATGTATATAGTAAATATTTCAGGAGGTTAATTTTTAAAATGTACTGGTTCTAAAATATACACAATTTTATCGTGTCTGAAGAATTAAATTCATACAAAAATTATAGAGGCTGATAATGAATGTATTTAAGCGATTTAAAAGTCGCAAACTTTTTCAAGTTAATTTTCAAATAGATTTTCAATCAATATTTTAAGAAATAATAATATATATTTTATTTACACTTATTCGTTTTTAAAGAACTTAAATAATAATTGTTATTTCTGTGCGTTATATGTTTCAATTCTACTTCCACATGTCTATATACATAGTCTTTTAATTTCTTATTTTGATAGTTTCAGTGATTCATACACTTTGTTACAACGAATTTGCATACACAAATCTGTCATAAAAGATGTTACATGAGATTCTTTATCCCTCTGTTTGCCACTTTCAAATATAGTGACAAGTGTCATTTTAGGATCAGTATTATACATGGTATATATATATGGATCCTGTAAAAAAAATTATGTTGTAGTATACATAATTTATCGCTATAAACTTTATACACGAACATACTTTTACATTTTTACAATATACAATTTTATCCATGGTTAGAAGATCTGTTTGCCGTTCTTTGATACGTTTTTGTACATTATCTAAATGAATTGATTGTTGTGCAAATGTCTGAAATAAATACAATAATATATGTATACAGATATATGTAGATAATTGTAGACAGTATTTCTTTAAATGTGGGAAACTTTTTACTTTCACTTGTTAAAAATGAACAATAATTTTCTTATATAACTTTTGCTATTCAAACCTGTGACTAGAAGGATGAAGTTTATCTTTTTGTTTCCACATTCTATAATATTTTGTAATTTATATTTACTTACACTAGGACAACTAAGAACAACAGGAAAATATTCAGATGTGTTTGGCTCTCTATGAGGATGTCTATAGCCTGGGCCTGAATCATCAACCCCTCTAGAATCGAATATAATTAAAACAGCCAGAACATCGTGTTTACGTTGAAAACTCTGAATTCTGAAATGACAACAAATTACTGTTTATGTAATAGTAATTAACATAAAGTAGTTTACAAATATATTACTTGTGATAGTAATCCACATTTTGTTTACTCATAATACTCCTCATTTCTCCTGGACTAGCTTGTTGACTCAAAGTAGCATGAAAGTATAGAGAACATTTAGCTAATATGCTACTGCGTAATTTAACTAACCATTGATACAATGCTGGCTGTTGATTCGCTTTTAGAAAAGTCGCACTGAAACCTAACTTCCACGACTAAAAACATTATGTTTAAAAAATACCTGTTTTCTCTCTGCTTAATTATCATCTGTATTACTAACCTCTTTACTCTGCAATGTTCTTTCCCAAGCTGACATTCGTGTTTGCGCACCATACAGAGACATTAGAGTTGATAAGAACCTCCAATGTTGAAGTTCAACTTGCGCTTTTGTTAATTGTACTAATATTTCACATTCTAAACTAGTCAAAATAAAATTTTTACAAATGTATGAGACACATTTAACACTAACAATGTTTTCACAGTAACAAATATTTTATTATGTGAGAACATATGAACATTATATAAATATAAATGAAAATAAAAAACATCAGTTGTCATATGATAGAAAAATCACCTAAAAGTTGTAGCAAAAAACTACTCTAACTGTCTTGAATAACAGAATTGAATTGTAACTACTGTGATGTTTATTATTTTATTTTACACATTATATTCATTTTTACTTACGTCAAGCTTGCTTTAACAGCAGTTAAAGCTAAATGTGAACAGGACATTAAATGACTTTCTACTATCCTTTCTATGCATTGTAATAATTCTTGATGTTTCATAATTTTACTGTTTATACTCATATGGTACATCTTCTCATAGCTGTAATGCAATGATGTTAAATAAAATGTAGAAGACCAAATTAAAACAATTATATACTAACAAATCTATCAACTGTATCTTTGCTGTAATATATTGACACAGCTGATTTGAAACTTCTGCAACTGTTGTACCAATTGAATTAGTTCCTTTAGTCATTTCTTCTACTCTTTTTAAGTCAGACTTCAATGATTCATAGACTGTTTTTAGTGAATTCTATGTGAATTAAAAATTAAATATTAAACAAATCTAATAATAAAATAAATAATTACTTTTATTATTATAGTGGCATATCATATTTACATCTTTCCTTAAAAATCCTTTATTTTTCGTATGGAGAAAACCCAGGTCTGCATATGAATGTTCTGCCACTGCAATTTGTGGTAAATGCATAAGTAACATTCCCCATGGTCCCAATTGTGTTTGACGACATGAACCACGTTCTTTTTCCTAAACACATGACATAAAAAATAATATATTGAATAGTCCTCATTATTAAATTTTGACAGATATTATACAGAACTATTGTACATTAAAATATAATTGTTTACTGTTTTTAACAATGTATTGTTTAGCAACAATTATTTAAACACCTCAAATTCTAAATTATTTAAAAGTCGTACATATTACATTTAAAAAAGTTTACAAAAAAATAATACAAATTTGTACAGAATAAACATTACTTTTAAATATTCACTTACAACTAATTCTTTTGCTTTGTCAATACATAATTGTGCGACGTGAGTAAAGAATGTGTTTAAAAACTCTTCTTCGTGATCCATGTTTCTTTTCACATTTGCTACGACAGCAGTAAAAATTTAATTTCACACTGAACATTGGTATTTACTAGGTTATCTTAAAACATTATATAGTCAAAGACTGGACACTCTTAGAAAAAAATGGTGGTCAATGGTGAGTTTCTGGTTAATTGATAAAATGTGATAATAATAAAGTTTATAACGAAACACAATCGCATTGTAATAAAATCACAAGCTAAGTTTGATTTATAATATAGACAGACAATAGTAGTAATTAGGGTATACGTAACATTATTTTATTTTGTAAAGAAGGTTAACAAAAGCAACATGGTGATCTAAATTCTTATCTTATTACATGCTGATTATATTATGCCTTAATTTCATTAAAATCTTCAAATGAAGTATCCCATTTGAACTTTGAATTTAGAGTTATCTAGTTTAGGTTATATAATGTGAAGTTATCAATTATCCATTATCGATATTGCAGAGTTCTAAAGTTACCTTCGCAATTGAATTACTCTTGTACGATGTGGTACGCATGTATACCAAACATTTCGGTTCGAATTACATCTGAGTTTCGACTCTATATAGATCTATGTTTACATTATATACATTCTTGAATGTTTTCGGTCGTGTAAAGTTAGAAGAATGTGATAAAGTTGAAATCTAACGAAAGTCACAATGAATTTTAATTTTTTATTAAAAGGTGAACATTTTTTAAGTATATGTGCAATGGTCACATTTCTTCCATCTGTTGTATGGAGTGAAAATATGATGCCTCCATATGATGCTAAATATCAAATATTAGTAACATCAATCGTAAGTATTGTATGTCTTATCTTTTTAGGCCAGTGTTTGTTTTATTTTATAATAATATTATTCGTAATCAATTTTAGAAACCCGATGATGCGACGGCATTACACACCAAGGATAACCTTGGTTTTTTACATGCATTTATAGCTTCTTTGTCAGTTATTATTGTTTCTGAACTGGGTGACAAAACTTTTTTCATTGCAGCAATTATGGCAATGAAACATCCACGAATGATTGTTTTTGTAGGAGCAATTTGTGCTTTAGCTCTTATGACCGCTCTTTCAGGTATTCTACTTATTTCAGAATTGATTATTGTGTAAGAAAATTAAAGCAAAAGCAACATATTCAATTCTATTTTAGTGATTTTTGGGTATGCTGTAACTATAATTCCTCGAATCTACACATATTATATTTCTACTGCTCTTTTTGCTATATTTGGTTTGAAAATGTTGCGAGATGGTTATTATATGTCAGCAGCAGAAGGACAAGAAGAGTTAGAAGAAGTACAATCTAATTTACAAAAACGTGAGACTGAGGTACAATGTTATATTGATGTATATTCAATAATTTTATAATGTTGGAAACTATGTTCAAATGTATATCTTATGAAACAATTGAATTGAAGTTATTTTCATAAAATTCTTTTAGGAATTAAATAATATTTAAGTATCATCATTTTTAGTATGAAAAAGAAGCAGGAAGCACATTAGTGCAGGATCCAGAAACTGGTGTTATTAGAAAAACTGCAAAAATTACTGCAGTGATGCTCCTTAGGATATTTATTCAAGCATTTTCTCTTACATTCCTAGCAGAATGGGGAGATCGTTCTCAACTTACAACTATTATACTTGCAGCCAGAGAGGTAATACATGATTCCATTTAAAAACTTACCTTCTGAATGAAATAACTTATAATTAGTTTTAAAATATTAACAAAGATATTGTTTTAGGAAGTTTATGGAGTAATCATAGGTGGAATATTGGGACACATGTTCTGTACAGGATTGGCAGTATTAGGAGGTAGAATGATAGCTCAAAAAATTTCAGTACGAACAGGTAATAGACATGTATACATTTTTCTCTCTAAAGAAATTAATTAATAAGTTAATTAAATATTGAAATTGATTAAAATAATCAATTATAAAAGTAAAATATTGGAAATTTTATTCTGTTCTATTCTCTTCTAGTGACTATAATTGGCGGATTAGTGTTCCTATTATTTGCCTTCACAGCATTGTTCATCAGCCCTGCAGAAAATGTATAAAGACATTCACAGTATTCGTCTTGTATAAAATTTCATTTATGTAAGTAAATTAATTTTAACATTTTATTTTGAGGTATTTGTTTTATTTTCCATGATACTTTGCGCTTGGAATATTTTTAACAATATAGAAATTTCTTTTGTTGGATGTTAATGTGAGAAGACTGACACAAAATAGTGAAAACACGAATACATAATAAACTACTTCTTTTGGTTTATGCCATCTAGGATTCTCTGGTCCAGACCATCATGCTGACATGAAAAATTTTAAAACTAGTGTAAAGAAAATTGAAGTAACAGAAAGTAGTATTCTTTTGTATAGCACTAAAGTAAGTGACATTTGCAATAAGTATTATTTTAACCCTTTGTATAATAAACATGTGGGACTTATGGTACAGTTTGCAGGCCAAACATAAGAAATAAGTCTTAGCCATGTAGTTGAACTTGTTAAATAAATTTGTATCTATTTGCCATACTCATGGTTAGTACCAACTACAAGTGCTCGTGTAAACAATACATACTCGCTATTTTGTACTATTTTTCTTTAATTTGAATACACTGAAAAATACATAACATTTCCAACAGCGAACATATAGATATAAAATGTAACAGTTGTTTCTTTTTATTTGTATGATCCTAAAAACTATGCTAAGTACGACCTCCGTGAAATGTATACTATCGACACTGATTGTTTGAAAGATTGTAATAATAATGTGATTTCTCAACTTTTTCTCTATTCAATTCTAATACTTCCAGTCAGCTGTAACAGATTGAACAATTCGGATATGCTAAGCAAACTCTTGACTGATATGGATTACAAATACTTAAATGATTAGATAAAATCCTGTTAACACATTCCTATCATTAATGGCGCTGTCATGCAATACCTGACTAAAGTCGATAAGACAGGGTATGACTGGAAAGTGGTAAGGACTTATTTATTCTAGTTTTCTGAATTATCAACACCGTTAAAAATACCCTATAACATGAGCGAACTCTACATTACCATGGCGGTCAGTTACGTTTACAAAAGCGTTCAAACAATAAATATTAAACAATTCACCATTTAGACTTACCCGAATAAATAATTCACATATCTAGAAAAAAATGTTTATCTCATAATAGATCTCTTATATCATGAAATAAATGACTTTAAATAATAGAAAATTAGACACTGCTTCTAACGAATGTCTCCGAAGCAAAATACTCAATGATGGACGTCCCGTTACGATTAAAATTGATACACGCACGTTATATGTTATTCGAAAACATCAGAGAATAATGAAATTCAGTGAAACACAATTTAAAAGAGAGATTGTTAACGCTATCGTTCCTTGAGCAGTCGAGACTGGACTCAGACGTTGCGTATCAAAGAATTAACATACAACATGAGAAATGGCAGGGAAAGGCCGTAGACGTATAATGCGTTCCCTTGTGTGCATTAAAAACACTTTCTCAATTTCGAAATATTCTGGCTGCTCCGACTTCCGAAATGCTAAGGAACGACAAGGTCTTTCACTCACTCAAGGCCGAACAATGAGATCCCTAAGTATTTCGTTGACCTGGATCGGCGTGCATGGAATAAGAACTTTCTTCTGTGCCGTCCAGGTGGTTGCAGTCTTCTCGATGTTGAGTTGCAGACGAAGAAAACTGACTGCACTCATCTGATTTTGGGTTTTCGAAGTAAATACCTGGGCGTTGCAGGACGCATTATAGAATTTTCAATCGTTTTCCATGTAGCATATAGTACAGAAATGTAATTGTCTCTGTAACCGCTCCAGAAAACCAGAAGAAGTCCATTTTGTCGAATGAAACTGTTCGTCGTTGTTCTTTATAATTCGCATGATTGGGTTGTTCGTATAGTGTTACAGTGCGTCGGTATTACAGCATTGTAATAAAATACTGTATATAACACTTATCAGCGGGTCATGAGAATAAAATGGTAACAGAAAATAAAATCTTGTTTTACCGGTTTGCATTACTTTTTCAGGTCGGAGAATGTTCACTGCGCAGAGAAGTCAGATGGGCGGAAATAATAATTATGTTTGTTTCTGGCACTTTTATTGCGAGACGTTTGATGGTACCCTATAGATAAGTATTACAAATAAACAGTATCATTTTGTAATTTTTCATTGCGATATGCTATTAAAATTGTCTACGTTTCGCAGTCGTGTAATACTTTACGCGCCACTGATAAATTAACGTTTCAGAATATTTCATTAAAATATTTCGTAGAACACCGTAACAGCTTCGACAACATCGGTTTCAGTTTTACATAGTTTCTATTCCTTAAATGATTTTGTAATCTTGTCTCGGTCGGGCGGTATTACGAATTTTTTAAAATCACGTTTCTTAGTGACGAATAAATTAGTGCTCGTTATCTATTTTACGCATTAAATTTTTTTCTTGCTGCTGGATGTCCCGGAATCGCAGGGAATTCGTGCTTTTGCGTGTCACGAACTACTTTCGAAGTTAATTACTTCCATGCAAAATAGGCGCATCGAATGTGACAATGTAAAATAAAAATGCAAACTCATTCGATTAAAGAATCGATTAATTAGTCGCAACGATTAATATTCAGTGAACAATTTGACAATCCGATAACATACCTAACTTTTCAACTTTTCAACTTTTTAACTTTTTAAATTAGTCGAAGACCAATAAAATCTACATAACATCGATTAAGCGTCGCTCATTTTGGGAACACGTCCGTCCATGTCCAAACGCTTGGGGGTGTAAAGCACGTACGTGACGTTGGCAACGGATGCGTGAAGAAAAAACGATACCCTCGTAAAGGCGGGGAAACACATGCCGGTAAAAAATCATGTTAATAGCTACTAGATACTTAGACAATATACTATTAAATAATGTGTATGTTGCGTCAAATGTATGCATTTTCTAGAGACATAGCAGGCTGTTACCGGCATGCAACTTGCTTGTAGTACACGGGTAACTAACGTCTTATAAACAGATCAGTCGCGCGCATAGGACATAATTACATGAATTTTGTTGTTTCACAAGCTCCCTGTCGAATCGTTACAAAAATTAGAAATTAAATCACTGACGCGTAAATGCCAATGTGAAAGCTCACTTATTACTTATGCCAGCGGAAGCATAACGCGTTTAGAGTTGCTTTGTGTCATATTATTCCTCACCTTTGCCTCATAGTGTGCGACATTGCCACGCGCACAATCAAATGTCATGCTATTTTCTCACATTGTGTTCACAGAAACGTTACATTTTATACAAATGCGCCATTGTTCGGAAAAGGACTTCACTTTATCTAAAAATTAATAAGTCAAACAGGGGAGAGCAGATTTCCACTGACAATAGCCGTTTACGTCTTCTATGCACGGTCATTATTGACGCACGGCAATAATGGATGGATGGAGTGACTTGCAACGACAGAAAAATAAATTCGTACTGTCGTCAACTCATTCTCTATCGAATATAGAGTATATATTACTTACAACACATGATAAGTACATACACAGTACTCACGAGATGCCAGCTTCCAGCATGTTGCAAATAATTTAATTACTCGACTAGCAAGGGATCAGCTGGTGATTTCCTTTTTCTCTATTATTTAAGCAACTGATAATTAACTTCATCTGCTAAAGGTTTCGCATACTTCAACTAATCTTCGTCCACAAAGGGGTTAAACAAAGTTTCGTCATTCTACTCTGTAGATTCTAAAGCGTTGACTGCCACGTCACCGATGACCGAAGCTTCCAAGTTACTTGACCTTAATTACAATTTTTCAGATAACTAACGTCGAATGGAAATACAGCGCAAATTACCAGACACCAGTGTAACGTAAGCATTGCGATATTAAATAACAAGTAACTGTTCTTCACCTCTGCTGCAAGAGACTAACCGATAAAGCTCTGAAGCTTCTCACGACAGTCAACGTTAAAATACAAAATCTTAATAACTAAAACTTAAAATGCTCGACGTCACCCTCCCAACTGAATTCCGCGCGTGATATCGCCCGAAGGCGAAGGGTTGGCAAGTGCCGGCGACCGGCTTGATCCTGGAATACCCGTAGATGAACGTTCGATCGGTCCGAGTAACAGTAACAATTACGCTGGTTGAAATGCGCGCGTCCACGCACAGTGCACGCCGATCCGAGACAGAAACCGGACGCGCGATCGAGCGCTCGCGCGTGCAGAAAGCAGCCAGCCAGCTCGTGGCCCGATTCACGGCGAGCACAAGGGAACGACCCTGAGAGACCCGGCGACAAAGACAATGTCTCCCGGCAGCGGGCACATCTTGCCACGCACTAGCCGCTGGACAAGTATAAGAATGACCTCGACGGGGATAAAGTGTTCGCCGATCGCTTATAAACGCTCAGTCCGTGTCTGGGATACCTTCGTCGTGGTCGATTAAGGGTTCGGCCTCTCCGTCGCTTCTGCTGCGTCATTGAGCACCTGCCGGGACAAGTGCGTTGCCCGATCCACGGGGATCCACCGCGAAGATCCTCTCTCCTCTCAGTGAGCATCCTCCCGCGGAACCTCCGGCTGCGTCGTCCTTCGGATCTTCGCCCCTTTTACGCGCGCGCCGAGCTTTGAGGAAGCTAGTGTGACCAGCTAAGTTAGACGATCCGGACCCGAGAGGATCAGTCCATAGCCACCGCGGCCGCAGGTGTCCAGTGTCTCCGTTGCGTTTCTTCGTCGAAGAGGATCTCCTGAATTTAGGTACGTATATCGGAGCACGAGGGATTCACGAGGATTCGTCGGATTGGAGCGTGCGGATCCTGGACGTGGATTGTTCGTTGGTTTTGCAGACTGGCAGCTAGTCGAGCCGATCGGCGCGCGACTCGAACAGGGAGCGTTTTATGTTGTTTCCAGTTATTTGTCTTTGGTAATTAGCACGCCGAATGCCATGGGAGTCATCGGTGACGAATCGGATTACTGTAGCTTACGCAATGAAACGATTGTTCGGAAGCATTTCTATATTGTAAACAATGCTGCTTGACGCGGTGACGTTTAACTGGAACGTGTGGGATTAATGCGATTCAATCGTGCGATTAAATTTGACGTTTTTCTCTCTATGGAACCGTGCGGTGTTCAAGGTGTTAGTGGGTATTTTTGGGGATTGTGTAGATTCGTCGGAGAATGTGTTATGTCTGAATTTCTTCGTTGATTGGAGTGTGAACTTATGTTGACGTGTTTGTCGAGGAAGGTTGATAATGTCATTGAACTATTTATGGACTCCGTTCTAGTTGCAGGGTCACGACTGTGTTGATTCGTGTTTAACGTTGTTGTTAACTCGCGTGTTTTATAGTCGAGCGGGCAAATTGTTGGGTAAACATGATTTGAGACAAGGAGCTGTTAACACGTCGCACACTGGTAACGAGAAATCTCGTTTTTAGAAAGACACTTGGCTATGCGGCTTCGCTAATTGCCACAGCGTTGAACAAAATATCAAATTTGATTCGAATTGATTATCTGTTTAAAATTCATTACGTAACAATATGATATATGAGGTTTTCTATGTACAGTGATATAAGTTCAGTTAATAAATTCAGTTCTCTGAAAATTAGCCTACGCAATGTGTTAATGGGAAGTTATCGTACGCAAAAGTGTTTACTTTCGATTTTCTGTTAGTTCTTTCATCTCGTTGTTTTTCGAACGGGAGTCTCGATTACTTGCGTTAGATCGTTGGTTTGATTGATTCTTGTAATTTAGAATAACGTTGAAGATATTATTGTCTATCATTCTACCGACGAAATATTCGGATCGAAGGAAATCTGAGGAAATTTCGAAGAAATTTCGAGCGAACCTCGAGGATGATCGCTTGTAATGGAACGCTGCGTTGCGATTCCCGTCACTTATGTCGTTGCCGAAAGTGAAATTTACCGTAATTGACAGGCATTGCAGCGAGCGAACACTCGGTGCATTCATTCTCGCTTTCTCGCTGATTTAACGGACGCACGGTAAAATGAGAACACTCTCTCTACGTCGTAATCGACCTTTTCAAGTACACGCGCACGGGACCAGTGTCTTACAAGTTTTTACGAAAATCTGTTTAATTTGACATTCTATTACAATGTGTTAGAATTATATTTTAATTGTTATTCTAAACCATTTAGCAGTACTATGGATAAACTGGAACTATTAGAATCAATGACTCTAACGCTTCTTGAAATTTTCATTGGTAATTTTCGTTTCGTTGACTAAGTAAATGATGAAGAAGTATTATGGACAAACTAGAACTATTAGGATCAATGACTCTAACGCTTCTTGAAATTTTCATTGGTAATTTTCGTTTCGTTGAGTAAGTAAATAATGAAGAAGTATTATGGATAATATACCAATATTATGAATAAACACGAATTCAAATTATGTACTTGACATTTATAACTAAATGACACTCGTCCACATTATTATAAAAACTAGTCTGTAATTATTCATATATGCCAGAAAAAAGAATTCAATTCGTGTTGCAGTTTAATAGGAGATAATCGTTGAGAAAAACGAGCACTCTAGTTATCTTGTCTCTAAACGTATCAGTCCTGCTATAAATTTCACTTCACCCTAAGAAAAGAATGCAAAAAACATGAACACGAATGATAACACTGTGAAATCTTGTTACATAGTTTTTAGAGGTACATTAATTTCGCTTGTTACATTTATCATAACTGTTAGAATTATTATGAATAAACAAGAATTCAAATTATGAACTTGACATTTATAACTAAATGACACTCGTCCACATTATTATAAAAACTAGTCTGTAATTATTCATATATGCCAGAAAAATAACGCAATTAGTGTTGCAGCTTAATAGAAGATAATCGTTGAGAAAAACGAGCACTCTAGTTATCTTGATCACATTTACTCGCCTGTTTCTGGTAATTACACCGATTTGTCTCTACACGTATCAGTCCTGCTATAAATTTCACTTCACCCTAAAAAAGAATGCAAAAAACATGAACACGAAAGATAACACTATGAAATCTTGTTACACAGTTTCTAGAGGTACATTAATTTCGCTTGTTACGTTTATTACAACAACGTTTATTATTACAATAACAAATTTAATTTACGTTAACGTGTTCGCGATAATTTCGTACACGTTTTCGCGATATCTTCATTTTGTTTTCGCCTTCGAAAAGGATATGACTGGTTCAGAATCTATTTAATTTTAACCAAGACTCGAGTAAACATCCACGAAACGTCCGAGAGCCTTTATTCTTTTGTTTCAAGTGTTTAAAATTTACATGTTACGTGTAAGCCCTTGCGACCGATGAGCCATCGTTCGTGTTTAATCGTTTTACGTAACGCTTCACTTGAAATTCGTGGATCCTTTAACCGAGGGAACAAGGTTTTCCCGTGTCTCCCCTTCTTCAGCCATTCCAAAAATTACAATGCATTGTAATATTCATGTCGGTGACCATATTGATACATTTTTAAACATCGATCAAACCGAAATAATTTACGAAAAAGAATAAGCGATTCGATTTTGTAATTTCTCTTTAGATTTGCGTCTTATATATCTAAAATGTTACATTAACATAAGATTAGCAATTAAACGATAGATTAAAAATTCTGCATTATCGCAGGGATGGCGCAAAACAAATGAAATTATATCATAATAACCTTAAGCATCGTATACAGTACTTTTATTATTTGATTCTTCAAACACGCCAGACACGGAAATGATTGGGATGATTTTTGGAATATTTATTATTATGGAGATTCGTGTGTTCGGTGACTAAATTCATTGACAATAAGTGTATTCATGAATGATTTATTCAATGATTCATTGAATACACACGTAAATACACACTCGTGCATCGATTTGTAAAATATGTAAGTACCTACTTCAGGTATTGAACGGATGTTTACTCCATTAATCATTCGCTGACAGCAATAAAGATGTTAAATTATTATTCGTGTTTAATCAAATTTTTTCTCGTTTCTCAAATTGCGTCCCGTTTACGGTGGGAAATTCTCTGTGTATCACGTAGCTCTATCGTTCGACGAACAACAATGCTTTTAGCTTATAAATAGACTGCTGATATTCCTGTAAATGTTTATGGTTAGCACGTTCACTGCCATGAGAATTTTAGGCATTCTACACAATATTCCTTATTCTTTCATAACAATGACAAATCTTGTAGCAACCCATTCACTGCTAGCATAAAATGTGTGATTTCATTTGTACTTTCAATTTATTTTGCTTTATATTACGATACATTTCAAATGCAACCAAGATTGTACCAAACTGGCAATCTCTTGCTACGGGTATATTCGTGACTGGCAGCGAATGGGTTAATTTACAAATATAGAAACCAAGTAGAATTTCGATCTTTCAGTCGATGGTTTTGTCTATATTTGTTTCTTCCATTAAAGACATCTATATATATTCAATGTAGCTTATTACTAAAAGTACCGAGCAGATAAATTGACATTTTGAAATTCGTGCATAGAAATTACAAGAGAGCATCCATTGAAACTTCAAGTGATTTACAATTCATTGCGCATTACTAAACTAATTTCTTTAATAATTTCTCAGAAAAACATTTGTTATCTGTTTAACATTTGCAGGAAGAAGGAATCAGGAATGGGTCGTTTTGGTAGTTTTAGTGTTAATTATTTCAAAATTACACGTTTAATCGCCATTGTGAAGAATTAATTAGTATATCCAGTACTCAGTCACTTTTCGTCATTCCATTTCACTCATTTACATGGTCGAATGCTTTTATCTTCTTTCGAATCAAAGCTTTTGATTTAAGATCGCCTAAAGTCCGAATGGAAGATTCTAATTAAGCCACTCGAAGTCGAGGATTTCGGGTGTACGAGTCACGCGACGTATGTATTACGTCAGGTGTGCATAGTATACGGAGATACGACAAAAAAAGAAGTTTGATTCTCAAAATAAAATCGACAGTCAGAAAACCATTGAATCTATAAAAAAAAAACTCTCCAGGTAGGAAGCGAATTAACATAAAACCACGTTTAGCTTGTTTCACTCATAAATTATGTATTCTCGACTGAAATGAAAAATGATGTCTCGTGCATTGAGTTATAGACATAATCTCGAACACATGTATTAGAGTAAACTTACTCGAGAGATCGGTAATACTAATATCCCCATTATTCCCACACGATGCATTCGAGGATTTATAAACGGACGCGATGAAATAAGATTATAATTTACACGCCAGAGGTGGAACGCGACGTAAATTTCATTTCAACGCTGAATCCACAGTTAAACTGGCTTTTTGAAATTCCTCTAAGCAACTTCAAGGTTGCATCTATCGAGACTTTAATTGATTTACGGTTCAGTTTGCTAAGTGATCGTTTTAATAATTGGAAAAAGGAAGAAATCAGATTTAGTGTTAACGAAACATTTCCATCGACGATTGATGATACGGTGACGACACGCGATTACTTTTGTCTTACGTATTCAGTGCGAATTTGTCTGAAACGTCACTTTCATGAAAGTTAATTTCACGTCATTGTATGCTCAGCGTTAGATTGTCATTCAAATTGAACAATTTCCTGTTTCCGAGCATCGGTGATTTCTCAGAGAATCATATTACCTGTTTAACCCTTTGCACTCCATAGGCTTATGAAGCTTGATAATTAATACTAAATCTTATGTAACCCACCAATATGTGGAATATCGAAATAAAGCAGCTTTTCTCCTTAATTTATAATTTCTCATTAAGCTACTTTTAAAAGAAGTTACATTTCATCCGAAAATGCGTCGAGTACTTCTAACAGAAAACCTTTCGAGTGCAAAGGGTTAATAATTACCAACAGAAGAAATCAGGAATAACTTATTTCGATCTATACAGCAGTTTCACTGTCAATCGAACAATATAGAAATTGGTATAAATGAACGAAGAACAATCGAAAATCCCACTAATTAAAATTGCAGAGATACCTATTCGATTAATATTCAATCCTACTCCGGAGAAATCGTCGGAATCGTCGAAAAATATTTTCCACGAGATATGCAAATGAACCGTTTATAGTTTCTTTTCCTGTCTCGCTCGATTTCGCCTAACATTCTTTTCTTGTTCCAGCATCTCCGAAAATGGCGGATGTAGCGCCTCCATCAGTGGCGGAGTGGTACCGCGGTCGAAATATTTTCGTTACCGGTGGCACCGGATTCATGGGAAAAGTGTTGATATACAAGTTGTTGCTCAGCTGCCACGACCTTGAAAATATTTTCGTGCTGATCAGAAAGAAGAAAGATGTCGACCCGAAGACCAGGCTGTCGCAGATAATACAGGTAAGGTGTTAGTGGGCGAGAAATATCTGTAGCGTGACGCTGCGCATATTTCGCCGGGTATTCCCAATTCCTCGAAACAAAAGAATTGATTCATTTGAACGAAAGAGTGGCGTGACTCAACGCGAAGAAATCTCTATATCGGGTTCCTTTTCGTTCTCTTCTTTTTGCGGTCAGCGAGAACCATTGTCACGCAAACACGGGCAACGTTTAAAATCTCGAGATATTATGACTGTTATTTACTGTCGGCTGTCACGCGTGAAAACACGCGTGTTAGTATATCGAATGCGACGTTTTAGGAATTTTCGAGTATCTCAGAGAATAGCAGAATATGTAGCACGTTTTTGTATGTGTGTATTAAGAATTTCTCGCGTAATAGGGAGATTAACCCTTTGCAATCGAGAGGTGACTGAGAGTCACCATACAATTTTATATACCAAAATCATAAATATTTGAAATATTGAAATAATAACTTTGCTTCTTAACTTATGTACATTCCCTCATTCAATTCGTCTTAAAGGATGTCATCTGTAACTCATTGGAAACTGTTGAATATTTCTAGTGAAAAACTTCCGAGTGCAAAGGGTTAATCGTACGAGTGCGTACAGAATTGGGACTTCTGTGATTTCATGGTTTTTATAGTGTGAGAACTTGCAGTTCATTATTATGTGTTTTATGGTTTACGTTGTAAGAGATATTTTGAGTTACTCTCGTATTACTTAATGAAATTTTCTAGGGATTTCCATATTCGTTGTTATTTGGAAGTTATGTATACGAGTATGTGACAGTTTGTGTACTGGGGAATGTTAGGAAACATGCGAAATGTGTTAGATTGTTTATTTATTGACACTTCATTTGAAATTTTCTGTATGAAACTAGTTTTCATTTTAATGGTACATTCGTTTCGGGAATTGTTTATTTATTATTTATCTATTATTTAGGAACCATTATGTACTCATGAATATTATTTACAAATATGATTTATGTTCGATATGTAAATAACAAGTAATTATTAGGAACTTAGAAGGCAAAGTGAAACGTTGGTACTTCGACACACCATTCGTTTTCGAAACTATTTAGCTACTGTTTATCTATTATTTAGGAAATATTATGTACTCGCAAATATTATTTACAAATATAATTTATGTTCGATATGTGAACAACAAGTAATTATTAGGAACTTAGAAGGCAAAGTGAAACGTTGGTACTTGACCACACATACGTTTCTATGAATGACTTATTAAGTCCGCACCATTCAGCGATTCTCGCGATTACATCTCGAGGATACTTTACGACCTCCATAAACACGAAAATCTCTTACGCAACAGGTAGAATGAATTTTCTAGTTACACAAGGTTTCGAAATGTAAATCTAACGACGTTCGTAAGTAGTAACGACGTTCTGGGCCAGCTCACGCGTGGACTTCGTGTCGGCCGGCCATCAGGTTGCTTAATTCGAATATAATAGATTCTCGAATTTCTCGTAAACACACCTTGGCTTTTCGGTTTTATTTCGTTTTATCTTCGACCCATCTTCACGTCGAATATCGTCAACGATAAGTCAATCTTCTTAATTCTGAATTACATCCTACGTATAACTAGCCACGAAAAGTTGAAAGTTCAATAATACGTCTGGACATTTCTAATCGCGATGTCAAAACATCTAATTTAAGTTCAAAATCGTTAATTAACGCAATGAGATCTTACGTTGCTCTATTTTTATATTACTACGAATTTTCATTACTATTGCATCTTCATATCACCACGATTACTAATTTTAATCATTATTCCATTTTCATATGACCACGATTATCAATTTGAATTATTATTGCATTTTCATATTATCAGGGTCACTAATCATTTACCAAATAATAGTAAACATTTTTCACTATTATTCTTCATTTTCGTATTACTGCAATTAAGTGGCATGGAATTAAATAATTGTAATAGACTATAGTAACATTATAGACCTACTTTTTTAGTACATCGTTTCTAATCCTCACAAAGCGGTCGTGTTTCATCATTCCACAGGTAACGGTGCATTCGTCTCAATATAAATCACTGACTGTTCAAATTGGTTGTCAGAAGATGAGAAATTATTTGACGCTATTGAAATGATGGGTCCAAGCGGAGCCTGGGGATAGTTATTCGAGGGTGAATTAACCTCCTGCCACGTGATTTATTTCGTAACTACTTACATAGTCTCGCAACAGGTTCCTTATTATTAACAAATGCCAAACAAGAGACAAACTAATATTTCCCAAACAATTTCGAAATTTCCAAGTACAAAGTGTCATAGTATTCTCATAATTTTCAGATTCCAGTATATTTCTTCTAGTATTTTCCAAATTCGCTCCAGTAAATCCTAACAGTAATGTAAACATCAATGAAATGCCATAGTGAATGTAATAGAAACGTAAATGGTGGAAGAAATTAATAGAACGAGAGCAAGTGGATTCTTCGCAGACCTAGAAAATCATTGAAATCGTTTAAAAATTGTCGATACAACTTTCTTTGGGTTGATCGGTTGTATAAACGATTTCTTAAGGCATTCGAGCTCTTCTTTAGTGTTTGCTGTTAGCAATGACCTCGTAATCGTGCCCATTGCAAAAATAATTTCGCACCTCTCCAAGATAAAACACACTAAGGTCCTTGTTCCTAATACTCGTGGACACAGTGCGTACGACGTACAACCTTTTTGTTGTTTTAACGTCGCCTCAGGTATTTGTCACATTACCTACCATTCAAGCGGATAAAGAAAAATCTACATACTGTGCGAAAGGCGGACCCCGATTCCTCCAGAGACGAGTACGCGTCCGAGATTCCTGGATGCGACGCAGCGTTTAACCTGTTGACTGTCGAATTTAGTTTGAAAAATCTCTCGTTTCGCACGCGACGAAATCAAGAAACGAAGTGTGCACTCGACAAACGCAGACGGATGCGTTTAGGGTATATTTCGATGAAACAACGAAGGAGAATTGCATTTGAAATTTGAATTTTCCTTGCTGCATCCGGAATATTTCTGTCTGTGGTTAGCTTATTAGAGATCATCGTAATTATAGATAAAAAGTTGTAATTATTTAACTGTGATTACAATTTGTTTCATACATATCCTTGTGCATATACTTGGTGTCTTAGAAATAAACTATTATATAACCAATAATGATTTTCTGAGGAAAGGATAATATGTAATACGTATTTCTCAGAAATTTAAGTTAATCGTAACTTTGTTTAGCTATAAATTCAAATAATTTTAATAATATGATAATCTTATATCATTGTAAATAAACTTAATTATAGATTGTAAGCATTTACTAAATTCTCGAATGCAAGGAGTACAGAAAGTAAAGGTTAATTAAATTTGATTTTAATAATGTTCTTACTCAACCGAGGAAATAAAATTCTCTCTTTCATCGGATACACCAGAGAAATCTGTGTTTATACAGCCACCCATGGTTCATCTATCAGATGACGCGTCATTATTATATAAATACTGCGCTAACGATTACACGGACACTGGGGAATCAATGGGAAGACTCTATAAGTTATATTTTGCGAGAACAATAGACGCGACCGTAACGTTTCGTCACGTTGAATCGCAGTCGTGGAACTCCGATTCGTCGGAACGAAACGAAAAATCTCGATCGACTCGTAATTAATGTCTGAAACCGCTCGATAATGTTCACCGTGAGATTGTACTAGGCTCAGTTAAGGAACAAGAAACAAGTTTTGCGTTCTATTGACCTAAAACATCAATGCGAACGAGTATTCAGCGTGGAATTTCGTTCGCACGCTGGCCAATATTAACGCTAGAACTACCAGAGAAATCAAAATGAGCCGTTCCTGATTGCTTCTTTAATAATTATTAAAAACGTAACATAATTCTCGGAGAAATTACGGTAGGTAGTTCTAGTGTTAATTAATATTACAATCAAAAAACAAAGCAAACGATGAATCTTCCTCTTCGAATATATCATGCATCATATCCATTAGAAATTTTCTTCCTTATTTCTTTCATAAAATTTCCAGTCAATCCGAAATTTCGTTTCATTAGAAACGTTATATTGAACAGTACAAGATTCATAAGTATTACTTATATTCGTTATTGTTAGCAATTCATATGGAATATCCAGGAGTAATATTCGAATGCAAACAGTATGATGATCAATATGCTAAATCAAGTAGCTGAAAGACGACAAGGCCTAGCGAATTGTAAACATTACCTAGCACTTCGACATATCAAAATGATTATGCAATAAACCTGAGTGGGATGTACACATACATGTTTAGAGAATTAGAACAAGTATAGGATATCGTGATAATTAATTTTATATATTTATTTTACTTCAGTAGTTTATTCTATCGATTTATTTTCTATTAATTCATGAACGGCAGATGTTATATAAATTGACGCTCGTTTAGACCGTTTAGATTGCTCTGATTATGTATTTACACAGGTGAAACCATAAATCTGGCGTAACTACCGCTCGAGTGACTTCAATGCGTGGTAGGGTACTACCTACATATATATATATATATATGTATCCGTACGCACGAAGTCTCGAGGCATTCCAATGCCATAGAAGCGGATTTCGCTTTTATATGAAGCAACCATTCGAAACAAATTAGAATTTGCAATAAAACGATTAATACGTTATGCACAATTAATATTTGTTGTGTGCTCGCTAAATCCTTGTGCGTACATCGTGTAATTTACACAATTATTTCCTTATTTGTGTTACCCTTTCTGTAATGGAGATTTTGTACCGTGATTAAGTAACTTTCTTGTTATATTATTATATTATATTATATTTCAACGATATAATAGTAAATGTAGCTTTTGTGTCAAGCAACCATTCGAAAGAAATTAGAGTTTGCAGCAAAACTAACAAAGAATGAGAAGATTAGCAGGATATGCACACCTAATGTTTGTTATGAGCTCGCTAAATCCTTGTGCACACAGTGCGTAATTTATACAATGATTTCCTTATTCGCGCTGCCTTCTCTGTAACGGAGATTTTGTAGTTGAATAACTGTTCTTTTTATGAAATATAAGAATATTGGTACAAACGCTATAAATAACGAAACTTGTTGCACGAAACTACGTGAGCGGAAAAACCAACAATATAAACTCGAGACTGTCTGAAAAGTTCTGAGCGAAAGGGGAAAGACAAGATGAATGTGAGACTTGTTGCAGGAAGTGGATAGAAGGAACAAATTTTATATGCACACCTTCACTTGTAGATAAACAAGGTCTTTGGTGAGTAACAGTGTAAGGCGGGGAATGAAGTAGAGAATGACGATGAAAAAGTCAGCAACATTTTGCCTTGCGAACCGCTGAAATCTGGCTATCATTTAAAATACAGGAATTTTATTCAAGAATCTGTTGTTCTCGCGAAACAGGTGAAAGTGCTGTGTGTATTTTTTTAATTAAGAGTTCTCGCGGAAAACAATGTTTTATAAATAAAGGAATAATATGTAAATTATAAGAAGAGAATAATACGATCCAGTTCTCGAAGCTGAATAATTTTAAATACAAATTGACTAATTAAAAAAACTTGAGACAAGGATCTTGTTTTATTGTCAGCAACAACTGGCACAGCAACCGAAATCTGGAACACAGACAGAGATATAATTAAATATTTTACTGTGTAATAATGTTTTACATTATAGTTACTTCACTTCGAACATTTCACACGATAGAACGTGATGTAATAATTCTAAAATTATTCCTTTAATGCAAATGTGATTAAAAGGTTTGCTACTTGAGATGAAGTAATTTTATTCCAGTAAAATTTGAAGAATCATCGGTTCACACGTTTGTACGAAAAGCTGAATACTGAAAAGGTTAAGAGTCGTTCGGATTATGAACCTGAAGGGCACCGCTCCTAAATTGTAATTAAGTGAACTGTTGCCTCGAGAAATGAATCACTTATCAATAAAAGAACTTGAGAAATATCCAAGAAGTCTGCCATAATCGTTTAAAAGAACGAACTGAAAACAGCTATGAATATTAATTTCTGTTTACCTAAAATAATGATTGAGAAATATTCAAAGAAAGAGATAAGTAGTATGTTTCATTAAAATAGAAAACCAAGCAACACTTTTTCACGGAAGAGACATAAATATTTCATGCTTCATCGATGCATAAAATTTGCATCGAGTAATTGGATGATAATTGAACTACAGTTACAATTCGAAGGAACTGTCATAGATTTTTCAAATGATTCTCTGAACACGATGAAATTTTCTTTTCTAACACCTAATCACTTCTGCGCACTCGTCGAACAGAAAAGAATTTGTTCAATCTCGCATCTCTTCTTCACTCGCAAAATCTGTTCCGTGCCTTTCCAGTCAACAAATTTCGAGCAATTCAAAAACAGCCACCTGTTCTCGATTCGCTCGTGATCGAGAGAAACACGAGCGAAGTTAAACGGATATTCGATAATACAGGTGAAGAGTTTATTTACTTACATCGGCCAATTCGAGAAGCTACGATTCGAAACGCGTCCACGAACGAAAGTGAAGGGGACGGTAATGGTAAAGGTATGCAACCGATAATTTCACCATGTTCCGTTTCCAAGTGTCGCTGAAAATCACTAAGGAACAGGTGTCGTTCGCTGCGAAAGAACCATGCTCGCCTGTAGATCCTTAAATCATCGCCGATCGAATAAAATCTTCCACGGAGACGTTTGTTTAACCTTTTCCCGAGTCCACTTGAACGTGCGCCTTCTTGAATCTGCGTCTTTAGTTCTATTTCGTAATAACACAATTAACACGTTGAGTGCCACGGTGGTCACCGATGGCCGGAGTTTCAAAATTACTTGGAAACAATTATAATTTGTCAGACAACTGGCGCCGAATGACAATGTTCGATAGCGTACATAAATAGATAATAATCTAACCTAATGATCGCAACGCCAAAAATGAAGTGATCGTTCCTTTCCATCTTCGCTACAAAAGAAAAAAGTAACAATGTGTTAATGACACGTAAACTAAGAAGCCACAGTTTCGTATAGCCTCTTTTACTAAATTTTCAACTTTGTTGCACCATACGGGCAAGCTTTGTTCGCAATAATTATAAGTGCAATGTCGCATACGCGAATCGTGTACGTTATCGCTGAAGAGGTCAGGGAAGACTTTAAATTCCCTTTCATTTGGTCTCGCTTTCAACAGAGTCCCGTTTCAACCGACCAGATTCTCCTCGGGATTCTCTTCCTCGAATTGAGTGTACGATTTCCATATTTGGGAGGAGTACAGTGCACTGTAACGGTCCTACGGCGTTTTCGATTTCACGTTGTGCCACTTTTCATTGAGTAAACGCTTTACTGTAATAAATGTACGGACTCGTCGATTTAACCGATTTCGAGCTTCGGATTTCAAAGAGGAACTTATAGGAATCGTGAACAGTGTTTATTAATGATTTATTTAATTGTGGTTGTAGATATTCCTTTGCAACGATTTGCAAAAAATGTTTATGCTTTTCAATACAATTTGGAATGTGTAAACGATGTTTTATGTTTATATAGAGATTATCTGATCGTTTGGAATATTGAGCATAGTTTTTTAAACATTTTCAATAAGAATATTGTAAAATTATATATTTCATATATTTTTCAATTCAATTTGGAATTTGCAAATGATGTTTTATGTTTATATAGAGAGTATCTGATCGTTTGGAATATTGAGCACAGTTTTTTAAACATTTTCAATAAGAATATTGTAAAATTATATATTTCATATATTTTTCAATTCAATTTGAAATCTATAAATGATGCTTTAATATTAAACATAGGTTTTTAAACGCTTTCAACAAGAACATTTAAAAATTCTATATTTCATATATCCTTTACTACTTAAATTTAAATCACACCACTTCGATTTTTCCCACGAAATTGCGAAATAGATTTAATATAAAAAGGAAATATATATTTCCACATAAAATAATTGCGCAAGTGGAACATACACGCAATTATATTCATGACGAAAGTATGATTCACTGAACCATTCATTTTCCTGCTCGAATATTTCGTTCTAATTGGATCGAAGAAATACATACGATTTATTACACTTGATCGAACCAGTCCATGTTGTGAAACGCGTTTATTAGTTCACAATTTTCCCTCACACGAACGATCGAAAGATTCGTAACATTTTATAAGGTCCAAGACGCATCACGTTCGTTTCGAATTCAACGTAATTAATGAAACGTTCCTTCTTTTTCAGCAACAACCGTTCAAAACAATGTACGAGACGCATCCAGAAAGATTGAAGAAGATCATACTTATGCCTGGTGACACCACCGTCGACGATCTCGCGTTATCGACCACCGATATGAAACGACTGCAAGAGGAAGTCAGCGTGGTCTTTCACGTGGCGGCGAACGTGAAATTCAACTTGAAGTTAAAGGAGGCCATTAAGATAAATACACAGGGAACCATGAATGTTCTGAAACTTGCGAAGCAGGTCAGTCATATTTCCAATTCTTCGTTAACCCCTTGCCAAACCGTACGGTAACACGTTGACTGCCATGAGAATGTCTTGCGTTTTGAATAGTAACACTTTTTCTTTAATAACAAAAGGAAAATGGTATTGAAAATAATTATTAACGATTTAGTATTACAGCAGTCGTATTACGAGTGTTTTATGAATTGATGCGATGATTTTCTTTAATAACAGAGGCGAATGATATTGAAAATATTATTGGGATGGATTTCTTATGTTTAGAAATCGCGAAGAAACAATTTAATTGCTATAACAGCAAGAGATCGACACGTAATTTCTGTTTTTTTGTATTATTCAAGCAATTGATAGATAGTTTAGATAAGTTTATTGAAGATTTTGTATATTTCGAAGAATCTTCGTCCGCAAAGGGTTAATCCCATCTAGCGCCGAATAAAGAGATCTGAAGCTGTACTAATTATTGTTGGTAATTCAATAATATCAATTTGTCGGTTTCTATAATGGAACAATGAATTATTTTCTATTCAACTTCAAGTAGAGGGCTAGACAGAAATCTGTTTTCGCAGTCCATATCCAGAAATGGAAAACCTTCATGACTTTTTACGCGATGCTCCTCCATTTAAAAAAAAAACTGAGTCTTAAGTTTGTATGTTATTTACTGTAACAATAACACCACGCAGCTAAACGATTCATACATGAAATTCCGCATAACAAAAGGAAAAATTTCGTTTCGAGCAGCAAACAAGCGTCGCGCCTGAGTAGAATAATAATGATCCCTCTTCGAGCACTGGTTGCGACACATCCCGCGGCGTGTGCGTTCACAACATCTGACATTTCCCAAGCAAACGCCGGTTTACTCCATCGAGGAAAAATTCGAAGCTAACGAACGAGTCGATGAACGCTTAATCCTGCCGCTACTACGAGCAACTATAGTCATTGGCCACGAAAATGGGGCCAAAAGTTAAATCGATATAAACGGTAACAAAAATACGTTCACGGAGAAATGATAAACATATTGTTATGAACGGAAATCAGTTTGCTTTTGAAAGTTGCAACGGCGGTTTTACGAAAGACTTGGCTCCGAATTTACACGCGTCCGAAAAGTTGAGCGCGTTTCGTAAGATCGAGTGCGCCAGTTGTCAGTATCAAATTGAGTTTTCTCGACATGAAATCCGAACGCGAAAGCGGCACGTGGGACACAAACCGTTAATGTTCCCTCTTTTGTCGACAACTTAAAACCGACCGGTGTTTTTCGCAGATGCCGAACCTAGCGGCGTTCGTTCATGTCTCGACGGCGTACTGCTACTGCTTCGTGCCGGTACTCGAAGAAAAAGGCTACCTGTCATCGGTGAGTCCCGAGGAAGTGATGAAGGATGTGAACAATTTGTCAGACGACAACCTCGACGCGATAATGCCGAAACTGCTGGAGGGCCAACCGAACACTTACTCCTTCAGCAAAGGTCTTTCCGAGGAGCTGGTGCAGAACTCCGGGCTGCCAACAGCGATCGCGAGACCTTCGATAGGTAATGACTTCTGCTTCTTTCGATTCTGACGAACGATTGACATTTTTTTAAGGTAATATCGAATTTAGCAAACATAAATATACCTTAATTCGACGTGTTAATGAAATTAGTATTTCCTTTATTATTTAACACTAGAACTACCGTGCCAGTCACAATGACTGGTTTCGATTTTGCTTCGCATTTATCGATACTTTAGGAGCGTTGAATATTAGAAATAATTTCAAAGATAGTTTCGCTTGAATACTATGACGAATATCCGAAGAAACCGAAAAAATCTGCTATTACAATTTTTATACGGATTACATGTCAGCCATATTAACCCTTTGCACTCGAGAGGTGACCACTTGATTCGATACAACAAAACTATCAAGTTGAATATTTAATCAAATGGAACTTTGCACTGCTACGTGAAATATTGAAATACTCCTTCGTTGCTTAATTTATCTATGAATTATCGTTAAATTAGTTTCAAACTATCGCCTATATCTCGTGAGAAAATGTTGAATATTTCCATTGAAAAACTTTCGAGTGTTAAATGCTCGGTAGTTCTAGCGTTAAATTTCACGTGTGCGACATTTTGAAATCTCACGCTTCGATTCTCAACGCTCGGAGGACCATATCTATCTCGCTTCTTCTCATTACACTGGTTCACCTTATTCGTCGAACTGTCCTCCATGTTATTTACCCCTTCGGTTCACTAGAGATGTGGAAATATATCATCCACGGACGGCACATAGATTTTTCATTCGCGTCTATGTTTTTGTCGCCGACGTCCGTCCGTCTAGCACTGTTTCCTCACGAAATTCCTTTCACCATCTCGACCTCGTTACTCCCATATGTCCCACAGTTCTTTTTTCTGAACCGAACGGACGTGAAATGTCGGCGTGGCCGTCGCGTCACGCTTCTTAAACGAGCGTTCTTGAATTCCAGTGGTTGCATCACAGAAGGAACCGCTACCCGGCTGGGTGGAAAATTTGAACGGGCCGACCGGTATCATGGTCGCAGGCGGCAAAGGTGTTCTGAGATCGATGCTCTGCGATCAGTTCGCGAACGTGCACGTAATCCCTTGCGACATAGCGATCAATGTTCTAATAACGCTCGCTTGGAAGCTGGGAATCGAGAAACCCGAGAAGACAATATACATGAACGTGACCACCAATAACATCGACAACCCGATCACCTGGGCGAAAGTCGTCAACTACGGGAGGAAATTCACCAGGGAATATCCGTTCACAGGTGGCTAGAAAGAGAATCTTTAGAAATCGAATCGACTGCGACTGAAAAGAGTAATACTGGGAGAGTCATATTTAATACCTCTTCGGCCGCGAATTATTCTTTCCTGAGTCCACTCGAACGTGCGTCTTCTTGAATCCGCGTCTTTAGTTTTACTTCGTGATAACACAATTAACGCGTTGACTGCCACGGTGGTCACCGATGGCCGGAGTTTCCAAATTACTTGAAAACAATTATAATTTGTCAGACAACTGGCGTCGAATGACAATGTTCAATAGCGTACATAAATAGATAATAATCTAACCTAATGATCGCAACGCCAAAAAAGAAGTGAGCGTTCCTTTCCATCTTTGCTACAAAAGAAAAAACGATACATAAAGCTCTGAAGATTTTTCGTGGCAGTCAACGTGTTAAGGAAGGTCGACACCATTGTCAAATAGAATCTATGTTCGTGATAGCACGTTGAATGTCAAGGGTCACTCAGTTAAACTATGATTATTTGAAAAGATTTCTGTATCATTAACAATGCTACCTAATGCGGTGACATTCAGCTAGATGAACATGCAATAATAATAATGCTGTTCAGTCGAATTGAAGGAAGAAATACACCAGGGAATATCCGTTCACAGGTGGCTAGAAAAAGAATCTTTAGAAATCGAATCGGTTTGGACTGAAGAGAGTAACATTGGGATGGCAAGAACGTAATTACGGTTTTCTAGTGTGGAAATAGAAAAGTAAAGTACGAAAATGTTTATTTTTGCACTTTATGTTATAATTCACCGTAAACAGTTGTAAAGAGAATTACACGGAATTTGTTTATATAGTGATCTAAAAGTGTCAACTATCAAATCTGAAAAGAAAAGAATTATAACGTTGGCAGAATAACAAAACGAACATAACGATATCTATTTGTGCGAAATTATTTGCTTGCCAATCCAGTAATTTATTTTCTTAACGGTGAATCCAACAAGTTTTCGTATTGATTTCTTAAAAGCGTTAAAAGATTGGGGATAGCCTGAAAAATAAATGAATGAAATGAAAGAATCAAATGAAGAGTTTTTATTATAAATATGTTTCAAACTTGTTCGCTTCACTCGGGAACAGATCAGTCAGGGGATCAGTCAAAATGACTAACGATGTGTGCGACAGTGAATGCATGATCATGGTAAGAAATTGTTGAACGGTATAATCCGACCCATGGAGAGAAAGGGGGAGAATGTTAATGGAAGACGATTCGACCGTTCCACGGAAGGTTAATGGTTTTCTTAATGAAACCTTCACTGGATTCCTAAAAATATGTGGTCAACGTGACTCTTTGAAAAATCGAAAGTTATTTAAATCTACGTGATCACGTGAATTATTTTATGTCGTAAATTTAAACTTCAAAACAGTCTCGTAATTCAAACACATTGTGTTATCGCTAATTTAAAAGCAATGCACTATGGTACATATTGTGAACAGTTATTTATTATAATATTCTGGATATCTAATACAATTAGAATAAAGTGCATTAAAATTGAATGTAGTACAGTTTTTCAAGTAACAATGAAAATTCGACATTATTGCATAAATACATATACACATAAATTATGGATTTCGTCTCTCACGTTTCATAATATTATTTCATAATATGTATTATAAAATTATTATAAGATTGATATATTAACACTTTGACTGCCACGGCGGTCACCGATGACCGAAGCTCTCAAATGACAAGAAAATAATTATGACTCGGAAGATAATTGATTTAGAGTACAACTTTTCTGTAACGTTAATGACTAGACAACAGGGTAGTATAAGAATTTTCATATCAAAGAATTAATCATTCTTGCTCTGTTTCTTTGCTATAGAAAGAAAAAGTGATACACGAAACACCGATGTTCTTCGTAGCAGTCAACGTGTTAATGAATTTATATTACGATACTTGTTACATTTATTTTATTATATTTTTCCAGGTGTCTTATGGTACCCAGGCGGAATTATAACCACTTCGAAAATAAATCACTGGTTCCGCGTAGTATTCTTTCAGCTTTTACCAGCGGTAATATTAGATGCTCTGATAATCTTATCAGGGAACAAACCGTTTTTGCTACGAGTGCAACAGAAAATCAGCGGTGGCCTAGCAACGATGCAGTACTATACAATGAAGCAATGGGAATTCCGGTAATTATAAATATTACGGGCATCATGAAAGAAGCCAGCTACATTAATAAACTCAATGACACATTCCACGAAAGTTGTCTTTAACCTTAGCTTTATGAATATTTGATCGGCAAAATTTGAATCTGTTCGTGGTTTTAAATTCCACGTTGCATTATTCTTATTATCTAATAATAATCATTTTTAACTAAATTATCGTGTTCTATATCATTTATGTTACTTACTTCTTATTTATCTCGTATTCCCTTTCTCATTCTTTCGTCTCGCTAATAGGATACAACGAATAATTAAAATTACCGCAAATTTTTCACAAACATCGTGTTTTCGTTTCATTCAATTATTCCGTATTCCATACTATTTTATTAATATAGTTACTTCCCAATCGAATTATTCCAATGCATTAAATAATTATTCTTTAATTTCCAGAAACGACGGCATGAAGCAATTAGAGCAGCAACTCAGTAAATCTGACAGAGAAGAATTCTTCATGAACCTTATGTCGATTTCGTGGGAAGATTTTATACGACAATACGTCATAGGTGCCAGGCTGTATTGTTTGAAAGAAGATAAGTCGTCGTTGCCGCGAGCGCGGAAAGTAATGACATATTTGTATTATGCAGACATATTCGTTAAAATCGCTATGTTCTTATTAGTGGCGTGGTTCGTTTATTCTTGGGCGCATCCGACCAGGGAACTGACAACAACCGCGTTCGACGTTAACGAAATTTAACTCTGTTGTTAAATAATTCCTTGACTGACTAGCAAACGTATATACCTCCGCCCGAGAAGATCGTACAACAATCGAGCTGGACTAATTTTAACGCGTGACTCATTGATAACCGTTTGCACTCGAGAGGACAATTATCAAGTTGAATATTTAATATCAACGCGTCGAATGCCGATTTCATAGAGAAGAATACAGAAAATGAGGGAGAAATATAATATTCTATCATTTGATTGAACTCCATTATTATTGTTGCATGTTCATCTAGTTGAACGCCATTGTATTAGCATTATTTATAATATAGAAATCTTCTCAAACGATCACCGTTTAATCGAACGTGTTAATTAATTCAACGTGTTAATATTAAATATTAATCTTTATCCGAACGATCAACCACGCGTTGAAAGGAGTCCAAGTTGATTATTGTACGACTTTCTCCGGCGGAGGTTGTTATGTGTGGACATTAAATTTTTTAATATGTTTGTTATTGCTTTCATTCTTTTTCGTGTTGTTTTATTTCTATATAATCGAATCGTGTGAAGTATAAAGACGTGAGTACAATATGTTGGTATACTTGAAAGGGTTGAATAGCTGAATGTAATAAAAAATTATAAAAAGATATAAAAAACTGTAGCACAATAATAAATGTTAATTTATAATAATGCGTATTAATTTCATGCGTCCATTTTCACCGCTTAAACAGTGTACTTTGTAGTACGCGTTCGATGCTGAATGTTAAACAAACTTTTCAACGATCTTTTTACCCGAAAATCAACAAACTGATTAATAAAAATAATAAGATAAAAATTTAATTGAAATTTTTTATTTAACTCACTAATTTATAATATTGAAATATTCTCTTATCGACCAACTTCTGTGACGGCTTGTTTCTAACTCACTACTTACAAAAAACAATTTCTAACAAACAGACAGAAATTGACTTTATCTACATTAATTAATCAAGAGTAATATCTGTCTTCCCGTTTGAGCGTTTCGCCATGGATGTCGCTACCAGTCGAAAACAGTAGCCAACGTGTCGGTAAAGTCAATTTCTATTTATAGGTAAAGTCAATTTCTATTTGTTATTAGCTACCGTTCAACCTTTTTATATTATTTTTTGAAATATTTTTTTATATTTTGGCTACTGTTTAGCTTATTGTTCGACATTTCTAAATTCTTCTGTTAATATCCATAATATTCCTTTTGTAAATAGTTAGAAGCTGATCGACAAAAATATTTCAACGTAATAATTTAGCGAATATTGTGAACAAATATATTGAATAAAGATACACAAAGCGCAGATTTTCGGAAGCACATTCGTACCACAATATGCATTACATAGTATGCACAGGACAGCAAGAATTATTTGTTGCATTAGAAAGATTATATACTATACTGAAATGAAAAAAGAAATTTCCCATAACGGATGATCGGTATTTTCTTCGTTGAGCCTAAGGCTAACTTAAAAGAGATTTATGTCTATCTGAAGCTATATGCCGAAGGACTGTCGTGCTAAGAGAGGAAAAGGAGTGAATCAAGAAAGAAGTCCTTGATTCTAGAATGAGAGAAATCAGAGAAGTCTCCGATTAAAAAGGAGATAAACGAAACTGAAGAATGACCACTCGGCAAACTTTAGTTTCCGAGTCTTTTTAGTTTCAACGCGGAGGTTGCTGCGAACGAGTCCCGAGATCTCGATTTATGGATTTCCAGCTTTAATTTTGGACTAACAGGGAAATAATAACGATACGGGATGGTGACCTGTCACATGAATCACATTCGAAGGAATTTAAATAGCACTAAAGTGCAGAAATCTGTCTGACATCGTGTCGTGTACTGGCATTCGGGAATTTCGAAATCCTGGGCTTTCTCGTGCGTTCGCGTTCGTCTAATCGCTTCCGCGAAATTTCAGTGTAGTCTTAATTCTCGTGTCAACGTGCAAACAGGTGAAACGATGTGTGTCCTGAGGCATGAATAACATTTTGTCATTAGTAACTTATGAACCAACTATGTACCCAAATTAACACTCCTATAAAATAAGACTGTTACTAACAGTAGCCGTTAGAGACTTTTATTACTCAATATAAATATTACTTTATTATCCTTCGTGTACCCAGACATTAAACGATGTGGATGTTTATTTATTGTAACAAATGTAAATAACTTTTGTGACTATTAACAAGAATCTGATATTGTAGCGACATCAGAGATGTACTCGTCACGTAGATAATATTTAGGATAAACTAATTTTTTATCTCATAAGAAAAGTTTTAACTTTTTCGGTTAATTTGTATTATTTAATATTTATTTCTTTTAGAATATACTGTATTTAGATGAAAATACGATTTAAGTGACCATCTGCGAAAATGTCACATGTTTAATCTGAAAACAATCAGTTATATGTTAACCAGTACACATTGGCAGAACATTGCAATTAATGAAATGCAAAACGCAAAGAATTGTTCCATTCGCTAAAAATGATGTGATTGATTTATGAATACTATAGTTCCTAATAGTTCCAGTTAAGTCTAAATCGTTAGATCGTCAATAAATAACACGCAGAATCAATCTCAAGAAGCAATTCCTTTAAAAAACAAAATTATGAACAACTGTTTACACGAATTCGAATTGATCTTAAAGATCTAAAAGCTTTTTATTTAATATACAGGAAATAACCAGCTCAACGAATGAATAAGTTAATCTTTAATTACAAAACATCTACCAAACTGTGCGCATCGGTAAACTAGACCACGGTAAAACTTTTAACTCGTCTACACGTGATGGCGCAGTACGCACTGAAGCCACCTGTAACAGACATACCGACGGTAAACATGTAAAATATTAAAATCTTGCAAACAAATGCAACAGAACTACGATCAAACTGAATACTAAAATATGAAACATCCTATACATTTCTTCTGACGCAGCAACAATAAGAACCTCGGTCAATCGTATTTCAAACGTTGAATTTTCCACGACGCCTGAAGTTTATTACACAAATTACAAATCGATCGCTTTCCTTTCATGCTCGCAAAAACATTCTCGCCCGCAAATGAATTGCACGAAAATCATTCTGAACGCAATCAAACTGAACGCGTTAGAGGATTACGGGAACAGTTTATACCTCTCCATTCTCCGCGTTCAACGATCCGCCATGTTTGCGCAGAACGAATTCGCGAGTCTCCGCGAAAACCGTGGTTCCGCCGCTAATGTCCTGATTACTCGCGCGAGTAGCGCCTGTGTGAATTACATGAAAGTTCATACACGCGATTCGGTTGTTTGGATTTCTTTAAAAGAGAAATGTACTAAACAGCGTTGTCCGAAATCAAATAGCGGGGAACGCGTGGCCGAAGGCTGCCCGTGTAAAGAGCACAGGCATCCTAGGATGTGGCAACCGCCCGGTTCCCCGTTTTCTCGTTAACGAACACGCGCGTTTCGTACTCTTTCGCCTATCACTAGCAGGTTTTCACTCTCACTTTCTCGCTTTATGTTTCATTATTATAGCTCTCGCTCGCCCGTTCGCCATCTGAGGCTACAAAAAATCGGAAACGGAATAACTATTTAAACTTAGAATGTCAACATGGTTGAAAACGGATATTAATTGTTGACCTCTGTCGCGTTTAACCCTTTGCGGACAAAGATTCTTTGAAATATACGAAACTTTCAACAGATGAAATTGAATTACATATCGTTTGCTTAAGTAATGAAAGGAAAAGAAATTATACACTGATCTCTTGCTGTTTGAGTAATTGAATCGTTTGTTTTCGAGTTACTGTTCCAAATATGGAAATTTGATCTCGCCGAAATGTCGACGCTCGTTTGCAAAGATTTAATCTTGTCGATCATTCGTATTCTTTTTAAGGAAGTATATAAAGTATTTTGATGTGACATTTGTGAAAGAATGACTGAATATTAATAACACTTTTATAGAAGAGTGAGCAGAAAACAAATTAAACCTTTTTCAAGTGTATTAATTAAATTCAATAATATATTTAATTGATTCGTATTGCTGAGTAAATAGTGGACTTATCCCTGACCTCCATTCTTTTCCCTGAGCGAAGATGGAATCAAGTACATCTAATATTTCCTGGACAAACCAGATAAGAAGGTAGAAATTACATCACGGGGTAGAGGTCAGGTTCCCTTGAGTCTTGATTATACCCAGATAAGAACGAAACATTTACAAAGGACAATTCCACTCGTTTTTACGCTAACAAGCGACGTCATCCGATTCTTTCACGGTATCTCACGTGTGCGTCACCTTCCTGAAACTGAAATTTTTATTGGTGGGAATTTGTTTACTGCCTCGACAATCGACGACCATTAGTTTCCAATAATTACGCCTGCCCAAGGCTGGACTATAAAAACCTCGAAGCCTAATTAATTAGAGAATATAATTTCGATCAAAACACTATTTACTTTGCACAAGTGTTTATCATCGATGATAAGTACGTTAAAGTTTTAACAAAAATCTTCCTAAAGAAATGTCGGAAGAATACATTTTAAAGGAACTTAAAAGAGAAATAAAAAATGTCTCCCAAGTTTGGACTCGCCTGGGAATATAATGATAGTGCAAACACTAAACCTCTGTTAGCTTAGGTTACTTAAAATGGCGTCATTTTGGCATCGTTCCGTTACATAATTGACTATTCAATATTTTATCGTGTTTAACAACAGTCAGCTCTCTTTGAGGTGATTTTAAAGTCATCTGGTTTCGAGAGGGACTTATCATAGCAATATTCATGAAGTATTTCTTTCACAACTGTCTTCAGTGAATTAAGATTCTTCGTTGTCACGAAATCGTGACTTACGAGGCCGGCTCTGCTTTCGATTTTTAATCAGTCTCGAAGGCATACATAGTGGAGACTTTTCTGCTATTTATAGAGAATTTACATTTAGTATGAATGAGATTCTTTCCGGTCGTCGGTGCTGCTCTGCTTCCTGGATCATTTCGAAACGGCCCCTCCATGTGAAACAGCGCCGGGCCTTTTTCTGACTCAGCGAAATAGCTTCGCGCTTTACATATTAAATTTCAAGCGAATACCAAGATTTAATCAGTCTTCCAAAACTCGAATTAATCAGTCGGACAAATGCTTGAAGAATAATCGTTGAAATGTTGATCGTAATGTTAAAATTAGCATATTATGTACGGCACTTGGAGCTGCATCGTGAATGATGATTATCCTTGGAGACGTGAATTGAGGCTTAACTATATAACTTTGATAATTACCACAGCATTTAAGGAAATATTAAATTTGATTAGAACTAATTGTCCATTTAAAATATATTACATAACAATATGATACCTAAGTTTTTTTTATAGATAGTGATATAAGTGGATCTCACTGAAAATCCGGACAATTTAATTTTCTGATAACTAGCCGGTACGCAATGTGTCAATTAATACATTTTCCAAGTATCCGTATATTTTTAGTACTGTAAGTTATATTCACTTTCACAAAACAACGTTGCACAAGCAACAGCAATCCAAATTTGAAAGTCCAGAACATGGAAAATGCATGAACATACTCTGAAAACCAGTCGCTGGAGACTGAGCAAGTAAAAATGGCTTCGTGGTAGTTTCATAACGGTCGCCAAAAATATAGTCACTTGTATCGCTAATGTAAAACTGGCTGACCCGTCGGGGCAAGCGATGGAGTTGGACAACAGAACTTGTGCAACTCTGTAAAGGGTCAACTTATCCTTGGCAATTAGGCGGTAAGAGTTTTTCTAGACTTTTCAGTGGGCTGACGATGAACTCCTGTGAATCAACAGTCTCTGCTTGTTTTGTTTCGTCATACATTTCTTTTTAAGAGCCTGCCTATAAAGGTGCTGGAATTATTCGAAGTTTTTAATAAATTTTTCTAACGTTGCTATACACAAAATGTTTCTTGTCCCAAAAAATTCTATAAAGATGCTGGTATTATTCAAAATCTTTTACTTTTTCTAATGTGCTGCCATATAGAAAATATTCCTGTTCCCAATGAATAATATTAACCTGTTCTCTTTCGACCGCAGTTACAGACAATAGACGACAAAAAGTTTGGTTAGAAAAAATTAATGAATAAGTATTTGGCAGCAGCGTGACATTTGCATATTTATAGAGGATGTTTAAGACGATAACGTGAAAACTGCAGTTTCACCGTCGTTTCTAAATTAATAACAATTAGAATTCATTAGCATCGAGCAAGTTAAGTCCTTGTTTTTTGTCTTTCGCGCGGTGCATCATTGGTGCTCTGGTGTTGACCTGTCTGTCACAGTTCACAGAGATTTTATTGTTGTATAACAGTATAGATTGTATAATTATATTATCAATAGCTTGAGAATAACATGGAAATCGCGGTTTTGCTCATTTTTTGGAGCAGTTTAACGAAAGCGTTGTACTTCATTTCCTAGCGTGACTGAGAATGGAAAAGATTGAATGAAGAGAAAATATTGAACTTAAGCGAATAGTAAATACGAAGCAGGAATAAATAACATCAACGACACTGCTTGAATAAAATTTATATCTTCTGCGAATATTCTCTGCAGACTTTTTGCTTCATTTCCATCGGGAAGTAAACTAGATGCATACAATGCATCTGTGAATACATAACAAACAATTTTTTTAAGTAGAAATGAATATTTCTTTGATGGATATTAATGATCAAGGCAACTGCGAGCGATCATTTAGGTTAATTTCTACGAACAATTAACACAATATTTTTTATTTAATTTTCAGTAGAAGATACAGTGACGCAGAAGACACTATTAAAACAATATCCCCTTTAACAAATTGCGTAATAAACGTCTAGTAAACGTGCGACGTTAAAAAAAACTGATAATCTTACTATCTGATCATAATAAAATATAGACAATATATTAAATATAGAAAATATAGAAAGTGCAGAAAATATAGGAAATATAGAAAATATAGCAAATATATAAAATACAGACAATATATAAAATATAGAAAGTGTAGAAAGTATAGAAAATATATAAAGTATAGGAAAGATAGAAAATATAGCAAATATAATAAATATAGAAACAATATAGAAAATATATAAAATATAAAAAATATAAAAAATAAAATATATAGAAAATATAGCAAATATAGCAAATATAGCAAATACAACAAATACAACAAATATGGCAAAAATAGAAAATGCAGAAAACACAGTAAACTTCAACGAAGTCTAGCCATCTCACCCTACCCTACCCCAGCTCTCACCCCAAATGCAAAACGGCAAAGGAATAACGCCAGCATCACCATCCGAATACACCTTACAATACATACATACATCAATTTATCCACACAGCACTTGCTTCATTTGCTCGAAGAGGTAGGATACTCACGGAGAACCAGGTGGGGGAAAGTTGGGCTAGAAGAAACGATTACTATAGCCTGCATTGGGCGACGATGAGGCGTCCAGGAAAATATTGGGCCATAATGCTTTCTCAGTCTGCACCGGACTCGCGGAGTAAGGAACGAGCATCGGCACTCGCCGGTCATTGTATATCAAACAGTCGCGCTTTCGTTTCGCACCGTGATCGTACATAGTGATACGCGGACTCGGATAAAACACGAAGTGAAGCAGACCTGCGTTACATTTCGTCAATATTTACGTCGCAGTGAACGTTGCCCGTTCCTCCATTCAACCGGTTTTTCGTCGCGAACCTCTGATTAGCCACGGATTCAGCGGCGTATCCTTTTGATCCAGTGCGTCCTTAAATACCGTTCACGTGTTCTAGTTTTTTACTTTCCGCGGAGTACGTCGTATGAACAGGCTCGTCGGTGACAACGTGGTTCCTTTGGCAAAAGTCAGCCGGCCCGGTCGCATTTTCACGTAAGTTTTCCGAGACCGGCTACGAATCGTTCCCGGATTTCGCGAGATAATTGAATTCCAGTGGAATGGACCGAGAAGCTTGACAACTGACAACGGTTTCGAATGTGAAATGAATGTTGATTGCCGAGTAAAAGGATATTCGTGCGTTTCATTTTGAAAATAGTCGAGCTTCGTATGTGTTTATGAGTTGTATAGAACATCGCAGTCGTAACGATATTTTCTGAAATGGTTTGTTATATAGTAGGAGAGTACTGTCTAACCTATTTAACCTTTAGTTACCTTGAAACTAAGAATAATTGGAATACAGTGGACCGAGATGATCGACAACTGACAGTTTCGAATGTGAAACGAATGTAGATTGCAAAGTAAAGTTGAATTTTTACAAATTAGAACATTGCAGAGTCGTAATAAATTCTTATTTGTCAGGACTGAATATTTTCCGAAATATCTTCTTACATGATATACCGATATTCTTTAATCTATTTAAACGCGAACCTTTAAATATCTCGAAACTAACAATATACGGTTTGGTACACTTTCGAAATTAATAGCACGTTTCTAACTCGATCGAATGTCGACTCGATACTCATTTAAAAGCAGATATTGCGTGCCGATTAATGAAAAGGCGATTCGGGTTTACAGTCACCAATCGCGGTGTACGGTGTGTTCCGTAAAATGTTGAACAAACTATTTGCATACGAAACTTTCTCGGTGAAGAAATAATTGTATATAATAGTAATAAGAACTTTATGACAGCCGATGGAGTGGTTCCACGTGTTACACTCGTATCGCGCGGATTTTGAAATCGCGCGGGTTACCTTGTTCGAATTGCATTATACAGGGTGATTCATATAATTGTACCGGAACATGCATTTCTCCTGGCTGAGGTTCTTCGAGGAAAAATGTTGTAAGACGCAAATCGTTGCAGGAATATATATCTTAATTTTCTATTTTAAAATTTCTAATTTCCACGGTTCAAACGAACGAACATCGACTTTACAGTAGAATAAATTATGAACGTCAAACCTAGTGTTGATCGTGGAACGTTTTGTATCAAATGCTAAACAATTATAGATATGGTATAGTAGACTACGGAATTTTTCATTTTGGTTACCGAATACTATTGGACGTTAAATATTGTGTAAACTAAATATTGAATTAAATATCAAATGAAATATCGAATTAAATGTCAGATTAAATATCGAATTAAATATCAAATTGAATGTCAAAATCAAACATCAAATCAAACATCAAGTTTAATTATCAAATTACCAAATAAACAAATTATTATAGATATAGTATAGAGTACGGAATTTTTCATTTTAACTATAAACGTATAAACTAAATATTGAATTAAATGTCAAATTAAATATCAAATTGAATGTCAAAATCAAACATCGAGCCAAATGTAAAAATCAAATATCAGATCAAACATCAAACTTAATTATCACACGTGTATAGCGCGAGATACACAATAATCAGCATACACACCGACATCGCGATTAAATCTGCACAGACGTAGAATACGAAAGAAGTGAGGCAGAGCAATAAAACCTGTTTGCCGAGCATTCTCGTTGCCAAAGGTCTTTTTCAATTTGACGGGTTATACTTTCGTCGTTCTAGTTTCTTTGTCAACTCGTAGCTACGTCCTCGAATCGACGTAAAAACGGTTGCGACACGCACGAAATATTTGCCTGACCACAGGTACTTATTCCCGTAAGCAGATTTCATTTCAGTAAAAAAGAGCAGACAGCCGTACCTATTTCTTTGGGCGGCGCGTTCGGTGTCGCAACTAAACGACTCATTAACTTATTAACCTGAATCAGTTTTAACGCTCCGGTATTATGGCTCAAGTTTAAAAAGTTTAAAATCTAACTGATCACTTAATTGACCCTCTTAGCACCCTACAATTTTCCATGGTGTCGCCAGAAACGATTTTGAGGACATTTATCAACACTGGAACTACCGAGCGTTTAATGCGATTGATATGCAATCCCTATAAAAATTGTAACAATAGATTACTATCGGTTTCTTCAGACACTCATTATGGTACTCGAGTGAAACTATTTCCAAAATCATTTCGAATCAATGCTTTGAAGGTATCAATAATTGCGAAACAAAAATACCGAAACCAGTCATTTTGAGTTAGTTATCTCAATTTGATTAACTTTCTTTAAAATAAAGATGAATCTTCACTGTTTTATTTTATCATAAAATCTGTGTAGTGAGTAAAGCCGAAATATCGGCTCATGGGTACCAAGAAGGTTAACCCTTTCCACTCGAAAGGCGATTCACCACTTTATTTGATACAGCCAAACTATGATGTTGAATATTTAATATTTTAAATGAAACTTTGCATTGCTATGTGAAATATTTATGTAAAATAGTTGCTTAATTTATCTGTGAATTATCGTTCAGTCAGTTTCAAACAATGTCGACTATATTTATATTTCCAGTGAAAGACTTTCGGGTGCAAAGGGTTGATATAATCCATCAAGTTTTCCAACACTAAAATCATTTCATGAGCGATTCATAGATTTTTCTATGCAACCGTCAATGAAGATAAATTCCTTTATTTCTTTTCATCGGTAATCGTTCTTGATCGTTGTTACAACTTCGCCATTTTCGCTCTAACCCCTTCCCACGTTCGCTGATGCGGCGTTAAAGTTGCAAGATCGACAAAGAATTGCACTCGATTTACTTTGAATGTTGTTTTATTTTCAAACTTGTATTCATTTTTAGGGAAATAAATTACAGTAATTTACAACGGTGGAATTCGTTTTACATTTATTTTGTTGATCATTGCCAATAAGATTTACTTATTATAATCTTTCAAAGTGTAGCAATTTTTCAAACTTCCAACGTTCCATAAAAATAATAAGAATTTTTATATAGAAATATTTATATATTAAACAATAAGAAAACAAGAAATTTCAGGAAGGAACTCAGCGTCCTTAAAAATAAAAAACTGCTGTCAAATAAAAATATTTAGTAACATAATTAACTAGATAATAGCGTAGCTTCTTATACCACTTATCTTTGTTATGAAGGAATAAATATTATTATTTACGTTGTTTCTGTTTAGCGAAACATTTTCCTGCGATGCGAAGAAAATATTTTTAAAAGAGGAAAATAACAATATTGTTTTTCCTCGGATGATTCACACGAGGTTTACGAGTTCATCCTCATGGAAAACCTAAGTGGTTGTCCTTCATCTACAGATTGCACCTTTTTGCTTAGCCCACAAAAAAGCAAAAGCAGTATTAAGTTCATAATAAACAACCAGTAGTCGATAACATTGTTTTCTTATTGCAACCAGTTTACCAGAATGAAAACTTACATTCTCAATGGTTGAACCGCAATTCGCGGTTCCCGCGGTTTGCACTTAACTACACAGTGGAGGTGTAAGTAAATGCCTGAAATGACAATTGTTTAACACTAGAACTGCCGCACCAGACGGAACGACTGGTTTTACTTTCTTTGTTTAGTAATTATCGATATCTCGACAGCATTGAATGCTCGAGATAATTCTGGAAATGGTTTCACTTGAAAACTGTAACGAATGTCTGCAGAAATCGACGATAATCTATCGTCACAATTTTTATAGGGATTGCATATCAATCGCGACAAATGCTCGGTAGTTCTAGTGTTAATACTGACAGTTATAATAATTGTGGCGATAGATTTATTCCGGTTTCTTCAGTTTCAAAATCGTTCCGGATATTTAACGCTTTCGAGACACCAATAATTGCGAAACAGGAAAACTGCTCGTTTTGAGGAGTACATAGTAAATACTTGCTAGTGTCAACAGATCACTAAACAAACACTCGTAACTTCCATACACTCGAAACAGTTTTCATAATGAAGCAGAAATTCAAAATAGATCCTCCTTGTATCTCAAACGTCCGAAAATTTGGTTCGCTCGATACGTCATCGCGAAAATGAATATTCAAATTTATGGAAGAGATTGTGTCAGCCAAATCCAGGTAACACGGTAGTTAAAGTGTTACATAAGACGATTTGCATTAATTTACATAAATTCGTTGGATACTGCACAGAAATCGGTGTTGCATGATCCTTAAAACTGTATTTATTTATAGTAAAAATTATACACTTTTACGCGATCCTGAAATATATTAATATTCCTGCGTTTGTATCGAACTCATCGAAAAAGCGAGTCATCGCTCACGTTAAAACTACTCGCGAATGACATTTAGGTATTGCGTAAATATATTTCGTTAAATGCTTTGCGATCGATATCCGTATTATATAAATTCACGATGCAGACACATAAATGCACGTGTATTTCCTTTTCCAGTTTTGGAACCGATGGAATTCCTAAAAATAACATTCTCTTCGATTAACCGATAGCAACGAACCGATTCATCATAGAATTCGGTCTTTCACTTTCTATTCGAAAACTCAGTGTCACTGTACGTGTTACACCTATCACTCTCATTTCGAAATGCAGAACACGTAGGATTCACTGCAGTTCACAGGGAAGAGACACTCTGCATGCACACGTCGTTCCACGATAATAACGTTTCTTATTGGTGTGCAGTACGCAAAACGCAAGATTGATCTTTTTCTCTTGTTTCTTGCGAAGGTTGTCGGCAATTTCATCATTAATCATGGACAAGTAAAAACGAAGAAGGTTGTCGTGTCTGTTTCATTGCACGCTTACTGCAATATTTCTTCCGTACTGTACATAACCGTAATGTCGGCGATATTTTCATTGACAAAACTCGTATCACTGATGCAACTAATCCGCAATGAATTCTTCCGTACTCGAAATATCGACGGGACATGATTGAACCTCGTTAGTTGAGACACGGATCGAGTTAAAATGAATCGTGAAATTTCAGGAGATGGTGTCGGAAACCAAAATGGAGGAGCAGATCCACGACAGGATCGCGCTCGCTTTCAAGGATCAAAATATTTTAGTGACTGGCGGCACCGGCTTCTTGGGAAAAGTGCTGGTTGAAAAGTTTCTCAGATGTCTACCCGAGGTACGGCAAATTTACATGCTCATCCGACCGAAGAAAGGGAAGGACCCGAAAAATCGTATGGATGACATTTTCAACTCTCCGGTAACTATGTTTCTCAGTGATTTATTTCTTAAAGTTGTTGTATATTATATAGTCGATTTATTCGCAATACTTTATATTAATAATCGTTGAATGTCTAAATATTACTACATCTTCTCGCCGATTTGGTAGTGTAAAATTGTGATTCTACGTTCAAACTCTTCGGTTCAACTTTTTCAATTCTGATTCAAACGAGATCATCGAATCTTAACAAATCTTAAATCTACTATAGACCTATTATCATAAAGGTATAAATAATGCTAACTATAGCGTTGAGTAATTATTCCATTGATGTTAGTCTTATCTGAATATCATAGATCAAAGGTCACGCAGATGTTGCATTCGTTTGCATCGCATGACGGTGTGCAAGAAAAATACAGAATATATATTTTTTAAACGAACCATTGGCGAAAATTATTCGAGACGAAATTCAGTTTATAAATAATTACACTTCTGAAAATTGTTCCTTAAGGATCATATTGACTTTGTATTTGATTCAAACATTTGTGTCCCAGTTGCGTTTGTAACGTGCCGAATTTCGACACATTTTTTTATAGTATTATATAACAGTTCCAGAAGAATAGGAACGAAAATTAGATTTGCGCAAACTCCTCTGAAATTTCTTAACTGAAGTGTATACTCAGTTACGAGTTTATTTCGAGAAGCACTCGTAAAATTTCGTGGAAGACACGATGACTGAGGAAAACTTTGTAACACAGAAGTACTTAACGGGATATATTCAGAGAAAGCGTAATTATGTAAACATAGAATTGGCCAACAATGGTTGATGAGTCATTATTTCGTGAACCACCTGGTGTAATCGTAAATCTATGTATATAAAAATACAGTTGATTGGTAGACTTCGAGGACTAATTGCTTACGAGGGAAATCACTTTCTCGAAGTTACAATTGCAAACACCACTAAAGACATATGTATAAATATGTAATCTATCATAAAGTTGATTTCATACTTGTTTTATGAAAGTGGAATGATATTCTGTGTCGACACCATATTGATGTGAAGGAAAGATTAGATTACGTCAATTTGATCTATTGGTACTAACGTAACACAGTTTTTATTTTGTGACGTGTATTATTAATAATATCACTACATAATCGAATATACGTTCCTAACGTTTATGTAATATCGATTTATTGTAAATTGAATGTAGAAAATATGAATAACAACTAGGTTTTTCATTAATTCCTTGACTTGACTTGATTTAACTTAGAATTTTATAAACTCGTTACTTCCTTGGTTCCAGTATCTACAAACTAATTGAAATGTTTATGTGCATAAACACCCCCTAATTATGATAAAATATGGTATGACTAAGAAAATTACTCTATCACCTCTACAGAATATTATTTTCCTGGAACACCGTAGTACCACCAAAATTCATCGACGAATCATTTTTCTCTACGAGATCAATCTCACCGTTCAATCTGCACCGGTTAATGCAAATCCTTCGCCGCTACATATTCGGAGACATTCGCTAGATAATTGCATTACAGGCTCTACGTCGAAAGTGTTTATCTAACACCATGGTACTCCATAATCACGTTAGGGAACAAAAAAGCATGAAACGAAGTCAAGGCCTGCTCTCTAAGAAAGATGGCGAACTACGTTACTATCGTTATTATTAAGACTGGTATTTGTTTAGTACTACTCAGTGAAAGTCATTTCGTGCGTGGCAGTGTGTTATGTCATAGTTATTGAGCCAGTGGCAACGAGACTGTATCATGGTTTTCGTGCGACCTACAAATACTTTTGCATTCGGCCAAGACAGCCCCATACCTGTTCAATCCGTCTAAACTACATTAACGTCGCATTCTTTCGATTAAACCTGTTTTTGTAAATTCACTAAATTTTCATGAAACCTGACGCTTGTCCGTTGCCCAAAAATGTTTCATGGACACTACGTCTAAAGTAGCAATTGAGTAAAACGAATTGAAGGCAGATAATGCAGTTGGTCAAGCTGTTGTACTGGACTTTCTATAATTTTGAATTCAGTGATATTGAAATAGTAATAGAATTATTATTTTCTTACTTTTTCTCTGTGCTTTATTTAATAAAGACAGCAATAAATCAGTCGAAAATAATTTCGAAGATACGTTAAGTCTCGAGACCTGCCGAACGTACAATAATGCGAACTGAGAATGTTTCATTCAGAGACATTCTTTGAATGTTTCAGCATTCGTATTTGGAGTTAGCCGAGTGGTACCGAATAATCTGTGCGCAATATTAGAAACTAAAACGGAATTTTATAGGAACTGCGAGTAATGACGAAACTCCTAATGCAGAGTGCAAATCTCTCCTCGAGAGGAGGTCGAATTGCATCACATGAAAGTCAACGTCAGTTCACATGCGTGAGGTTTATGACAATTTAACAGACCTTTGGTCCGTTTCCTCTGTAACATGAAATCATTCGCAATAGAGAATTTATAAAATTAACACTAGGTGTGCGGACGTTTAGTCTGTCGTTCTTAGGAAAATTGATGTTCGTTCGCTTAGATCTTGAAAATTGGGAACTTAGAAATAGACAATTAGGATACATATTCGCGTAATTGCATCAATCAAAACCGAGACGAACGTTGGCCAACAAATGTTTATAAAATTTAACGTGCGCCAAATCGGTGCGTAAACCTGGTGTTGAGGAATAAACAATCAACCTGGAAAGTTGTTAATATTATAAAATGTTATTAAATGGAACAATTATTGCGCTACTATTGGACGTATAGAAACTGTGACAACACCGTTATAAATACTTTTAATTATTCTTAGAAACAATACAGCCTGTATGCACACGCTTCGTAAAAACATTCGAATGAAAACATTGATATTATAAAACGCAGTATCATCTAACCAGGCAGATAAATATCGTTTAATATCGAAGGACATTTAGCTTCCTAGTTGCATATGAGATGTTTATTCACCTGAGTGAAGAATATAGTCATGGTATGAATCACTTCGATCTTCATCTGAGTATGCCTAATTAAGTTAATGCAGCATACAGGGTGGTTGAAAACAAGGAAGTCACTTTACAACTGTGTCAAATGAAATCAGAAGAAACTTATTTAAACTATTTAAATAATTTTTTTAGTATAATAAGATATATACCAAATTTGCGTTAGTAAATATTAGCCACGTTCAAATGATTCTTTTGAATAGAATAGAATAACAGATTTGCAGTAGTAAATATTAGTCATCAATTTTAGTCGGTAATTGCTTGTTGCAGCTCTTTGAGAAAGTTAAACAACAAAGAGGATTAGCGGAGCTACGTAAATCAGTAACAGTTGTGAACGGAGATGTGTCGATGTTAGGCATGGGACTTTCTCCAGAGGACAGAAAAATGCTTTGCGAAAAAATCGACATTGTATATCATGGCGCCGCTACAGTAAGGTACCGAGGCACAAAATAAGATAGATCAACAATTTGTATGGTAAACCACAGTCGCTTGAAATTATCCGATTATTTTAGATTCGACGAGCTGCTGAAAAAGGCGGTTCTGTTAAATACTCGCGGTACAAAGCAAATGTTAGAACTGGCGAAAGAGATGAAACACTTGAAGCTGTTTGCTCATATCAGTACTGCATACTGTCATCTAGAAGAGAAGGTAAAATAATTTTCGTTAGCATTGAAAGATTCATTACAATTCAATGAAGTATATTTTACTATCAGTTTGTCAATAGATAATACTAGATGTTATTTAACATATTACTATATATATTTACTATATTAATAGATTAATATAATATTGATAAATGAGTAGATACCGTCAACTTTTTAATTTGTTCCAGATATTAAGAGAAAAATCATATCCTCCTCCAGCAGATCCTCACAAAATTATCAAATGCATAGAGTGGATGGATGATGAGGTGGTTGAAGCCATGACTGATAAAATTCTGGGAGATATTCCTAATACGTATGCCTTCACAAAGGCTTTATCTGAAGGACTTATCGAAGAAGCCATGCCACACATTCCAGTAATTCTATTGAGGTGTAAACATATTATGAATTCTTATAGAAATACATACTGATACTTTAAAGTATATATCGCTTAAAGAGTATTTTCTTTCAATAACGTAGGCCAAGTGTCGTTATACCTGTTTGGAAAGAACCAGTACCTGGATGGACAGACAATATCAACGGGCCAACAGGACTTTTAATTGGAGCTGGGAAAGGTGTTATTCGGACAATGTACTGCGATGAAAATGGATACGCTGATTACCTACCTGTTGATATTGCCGTGAACGCTATTTTGGCCGCATCATGGAATTACTTTTATCTGCACGACGACGAGAGAAGAGTTTTCAACCTAACGAGCAGTAACGAATACAAGGTAGATTATTTCTTAATAAAATATAGAATTAAAATGCTACAACCATACGAACAGAAGTTGTAAGAATTATAACATAAATTTCAGGTATCATGGGCAGAAATTATCGCACGTGGTCGAAAAATAACAGAGAAAGTACCTTTAAATGGCGTCGTTTGGTACCCAGGTGGCAGTATGAAGAAATCAAGACTTATGCACAACATATGCTTTTTACTATTCCACATGATACCAGCTTACTTAATAGATACACTTATTTTCCTTGCTGGCTACAAACCAATGTAAGTAATAATTATAATGTACGTGTATCAATGACATTAAAAAAATACTTTTATTGTACATAGCATGTGCCGTGTGCAACGTCGTATACGAAAGGGATTTGAAGTTTTCGAGTATTATGCTAACCATCAATGGGACTTCGACAACTCAAACATGTACAAAGTGAGGGATCGGTTTAATTCGGTCGAGTACGAAAAATATCAGTTACACGGAAACGACTTGGATATTGATGGATACTTCGAGAGTTGCATACGGGCTGCAAGGATCTTCATTTTAAATGAACAGCCAGAGACGTTGCCAGCAGCTCGGAGACACTTGAGAATGTCAGATTTACTATTTTATTAATATTTGATAATGAACAGCTTTAATGTTTTCAATTGAAAGCAATTTTTAGCAAATGCGTGATTATTCTATTTTTATTACAGCATGTACTGGGTTGACGTACTGACAAAGATACTGTGTTTCGTCTTCTTGATATATTTACTGGCATCTTGGAGTGAAAGTTTTAGGGCACTACTGACAGGATGTTGGGCAATTGCAAAGCAGACACTATCACACTAATTCCTTCATTAGCTCGTAACACTGTTAGTACCTTTACATTGTAATATAATCAAATAAAGTAAGAATTATATTTTTAGTAATTATTTGCCCATTCATTATATAGAAATATTTACTATTAAAATTAAACCTTCTCAACCGTTTAAATATCGACATTCAAAATATACAAGAAGATTGATTCTTAGCGACGAAACAACACAAGGTATAGAAAAAAGCTGAAAATAGTTTTTGCACTGAACGTGACTTTTATTTATATCAAATATTGAAAGAGAATTACTCCCTTAAACAGATTCCTGTACAGGTGGTTCGTAGCCTTCTGGTCTGTCGACCTTTGAGCCAGTTTCTCCTACTTCTTCCGGCTTGCTACCTGCACTATCTCCATGAAGTTCCAAAAGCTTGCTCAGTTCAAAACGTGGTTTCTTCAATACTTTAACCTGTCAAAAAATAAAATTATTAATATTATTTTTATTGCTATTTTTATAACAATCCATTATTCAATTACGTATGTAAACATACTTTACGAATATAAACATCATGGAGTGGGTAAATTCCTTGGGATGCCTTCTCAATGTCTTTGGCCGTTGCATCTGGCAGAAGTTTACTGACAACACCCTTCAAGTCACTCTTCGTAACATCATTAGTGATTGTTTCAACCATCTTCTGCCTAATTTTCTTAACCTAAGTAGAAAAATAGTGATAATTATAGCTATGTACTTTAGTATAAAAATATCTTCAATTTATATAGAATTATATAAATGTTGCAATATCCTATATCACTACTTCTTATTTCAGAGGTAATGTGGTAAGCAAATGCACTTTTTTTCTATGCAACAGTATATATCACAAAAGCAAATGAATACTCTTATGAACTGTAAGTTGCAAGTATTGGAAATAGAGTATGATGTATAAAATATAATTACAAACCTGTGCATGTTGAGCATAACATGTCTTCCTAGTACTCAACTGGTCTTTGTTAGTAAATCCAATACAGAAAACTCTGAGAAGATAACCATCAGTAGTTTTTACATCAACATTAGCTTCAATGAGAGTCTGCCATTTTTTTACCATAGACCTCAATTTGTCTGTGGTCAAGTCCATACCATGGAAATTAGTCAGTACATTACGATGTTGCACATCCTCTGCAATTAACCTGAATTTACGGAAAGATCTCTCTGCATCACCATCATTCTGCAAATCCGCTAAAGAGACTTCAAATACTCTGTACTTTAGACCCTCAGATGCAATCTCTATAAAATAAAGCACATACTTTGTTAAAGACGAAAATAATTTAGTATATGTACTTAAGATATTATAAACTGAATAAAAAAGAAAACACTTGTAGCAGTATCTAATTTTAGTATCTTGTTGAAACAATACCAAAGTATAGAGCTGCTTTACTTTTGCAACATAAAACGCCACAAAAAGTAATGAAGGTACTTTCATGGAGCTGGAGTTGCAAATGATTTTTAAAATAACTTACTTGTTCCTTGGGTTCTGTTGACCAATGTTTTGCCAACATGACGGTTGGTGAACATAGACGGTGCCTTAACATCGTACCAATCTTTACGTGTGAAAGGATCAACACTATAAGAAGAATATATTTAGATTAATCTTCTAATACTGATGCCACACTTTAAGGTTAGAGTAATAAATTTCATATATATGTAATGAAACCCCATAAATTTAATTGACATTAATATGATTAATTATATGATATACTTTATATGCGATACACTGAATGTTTCATTCAGTACTGAAACTTTGTTTGAAAAATGTAAACGTGATGAGCATGTTAATAAACATCGGAGGAGCGTATTAAAAATATTATTTTAAATGCATAATTAGTCTCGATGAAAAACGAATAGCTTCTTCTTAGACTACTTTTATTTGAATTATAAAATATTGATAGAGATAATCTATTAATCGAGAAATGTATCTCTAAGCATTCAAATGTCAGGTGTATGAAATCTGTTTTAATTCGGCACATCTTGCCACGTAAGAAGTGAAATATTATAATTTCTGCATATTGAAGAATTAAAGTTCAAGGAAAACTCATTATTATTTTACTTACATCTTCTTTTTCACTCCCTTTTTACCTCCTTTTGAAAGACCCTTATTTTTACCCACCGCCATGATTGAGGTTACAGACGAAAAGAAGCACGCTTATCCACCACCGGAAACTGGTAGAGCAACCTATGAGTTATATGTACATACGTAAACGCTGATTGGTTGATGAATTTCTATTGTACCCATATTTTAAATAATCACTTTTTAAAAAGTGACTGATTTACTGAATATTCTTTAAAAATAAAATATATAAAATTATTTTAATTATATCATTTACTTATCTATAGGGTGCGTCAAAACAATTATTTATTCTGATATAAATAATTTTATCATTAAATATACATTCTGTCATCTTGTTTTTATTACAATTGTTATTAAATTTTAAAAATTACTATATTCATTTTAATATATCGATACTAAAATATGATATATATCAAAATATTATTAAAAGGATTAAAGTTTATATAATTGTTTAGGAACGAAATAAAATGATAATTAATTATATGGTTTAAGAAATAAACACATAATACCAAAATTTGTATTTTGGGTTCTGAAGTTTTTAACTCGAATTATTTCCGAAATTCTTCATCGATTGAATATTATTAGAGATCCATCGCGTTTCTCGAGTGTCCAATGTATTTGTAAAATGTATAATCAAAGATTTGATGGATTACATTTTGAATATGCATTTCAAATAAGTACGAAGTTCTCTGCTAACGTTTGAGTTACCACTTGACGTATCGAATGTCGACAGCTGTTGGCCTTCGGCTGATTTCAGTGCAATTCGAAAATTTCGCGTGCGAAATTGTGGGATTTATTTTTTCTTTTTGTCTGCAAATGCGGAGCTCACTATTCGTGTTCTTCCGCGATAAACTCTGCGGTAAATGAAACGATTTTCGGTGGGATGCGTTTATACGCGACGATCATCACGAAGATTTACGTCAAGTAGTTGGCCTACAAAACGTTTCTGATAATCATGAATCTGCAAACACTCTTTCAAGACTTCAATCCAAGGTAAAACCTTGCGCGTGAATTATATGGATTTTCGTTAATGCTGTAGATTAAAAATGAATTACTGTGGGATATCGAGATCTTATATTTAGAGTATTCCACGAAACAAATAAAAAGAATGCAAAACAACGAACCTTATTTTATGTATAAAGAAACTTTTATCGTTAAGTGCTCGATAAGATTTTCCTTCTTATTTTTTATAAATTAGCGGATGTAGATAGTTTAATAAATAGAGAAATTTTCCAATGACTGAGTTATAATATTCCTTATTTAATTAATTTCGGTTTGGTTTATATTTTTTAAATAGGTCAAGTGTTTATTTTAAACAAATCCTCGTCTTTCTTTATTCGCTAAATTTTGTCATTGTTACAAGGCTTTTGACCTTTGTCACTAGTCAACGGAATATATAATTATTTTTAATATTTATACGTTCAAAATATATGTTTTACAATCAGTGAAATTACATTTTGTTTGGGTTAAATAATTTAATTATCAATTTTTTAAAATACTTTATTTTTAAACAGTTTGATGTAATCTTCTTTGTTTTTCCTTCTTTGTTTTTTCTCAAGACTTTTCATCTAACTTTGTAGTGTTATTGTCATGTATTTTAAATACTAGTTTTTCTAAAATTGTAAGAAAACTAATATCTGATGTACAGAATTGAAAACAAGTAATTTTATCAAATATTTGGAAACTAACATTTCTTAATTTATATTGTAGCAAATTTTTAGTGCATTGCTGTTTGATGATATTTACATCCCTATTCGCTCTTCGGCTGGATGGTTTCATAGAATGGAGTTATTGGTGTGTGTTTACACCAATATGGTTTTGGAAGAGTATGGTAATTTTGGGTGCTACTGTCGGAAGTTACGTTTGGTGGAGACATCCACATGCAAGGCTCGAAGGAGATGCCTATGTACATTACAAGGCAATGTTAATCACTTTAGCATTACACTTGATCCTGTTAATGTTTGAATTGTTAGTATGTGATAAATTAGAATCGGAAAGGCACCTTTGGATACTTGTATTTATACCACTTATTTTTATTTCTATAGTGTCAATAGCAGTAAGTATATTTGGATTAAATTCAATGCTAGCTAAAAGTATAAAATTATTATTTATAATTAATGAAAGCAGAAAGTACTGTATTAGAAAAGTGTACTTTATTGCAGGAACAGTTTCTTCATTATTTGTTTAAAACAGTTACAAAAATGTTATAAAAGCTGATGTAGATAGAGATTCAATATAAAAGATTCAGTTTCGTTTAAGATATGAAGAATTTTTATATTTTTAGCTAGTTATATGCAAGATGTTCCAGCTGAACAGGAACATTTAAATATCTCCTTTGTTTTCAAGAATGTTAAGAATGTTTAAAATACAATTTAAACGGTTTTAAAGCAGGAGCCATGAAATGAACGTTT